ACCAGCAGAAGAAATTGTCGCAGAGCCGGATATCGAACTAGCCACGAATCCACCAGTAGTGCAACAACAAGAAGCCGGTGGGGCTACAACAGGATCTGAACAACGCTATCCAACTAGATCACACCAACCACCCGAGAGGTGGGATCTTAACTGTTTGATCCGAAAACTGTTTAAGAAAACTACATAGAGAACTGCTTTATTACTTACTGTTATGGTTAGCATAATTGTTCGAACACGATAGTGAACTCATGAACAATATTTTATGATACATTCCTCAAGAGGAGAGATGGTGTTAGATATATAGATATAGACGGACAGCGGTCATACGCACGGACATGCGCATTAGATATGTAGATCGGCCATGCTTATGTATTATTCATATTTTGTTAAAAGTATAATCTAAATACACGACAATTATGGCTATAATTTTCCGAATGGCCAACCCGATTTTCTGAGTATGTTGATTCTAAAAAAGTTGGGGGGTTACCCGCCCTCCAATACCCCCCTCGCTACAGCCCTGTCTGTATCACTGCAGCTACCTACAGCATACTTATATGCATGGTTTAACTAATAAGTATATGTCATAGGGCAGCAGCTCAGGCCATGCTTTATAACTAGGACTCTGAGACAACTGAGTCAACCACCGAAGGTGCGCGTCTCTAGAGGGGTCTGGGGGCATGCCCCCCAGAAAATTTTTGATTTTTTGAAGCTCAGATAAGCTATTTCCAGCATTTTGAGGAGTTTTCCAACAAGAAATTAACCTTACACTAGTCCCTGAAAATCAAACCAGCTCAGTCTTTTCGGACTGGTCAAATCGATCCCTGCAACCATGCTGTTTTGCAACATATTTTTCCAACCAAATACTGGGGCAGGATATTTATTTCCCCAGTTTGTTAGTGCAGGTATTTTTTTGTTGTTCAGAATAGCCTTGCAGGAAATTTTTTTTCAAAATCACCCCCCCTCAAAAGTTAAATGATCAGCCCCTAATGTTGTATGAGAACTTCTTTCATATACATTTTAATTCTATTTCTATTTTTCGCATGTAGGTGCACAGGAAAAAATTCTTGCTCTGTAGAGTACTCAGGTCACAATATATTTACGCGTTCCTATATATATATATATATATATATATATATATATATATATATATATATATATATATATATATATATATATATATATATATATATATATATATATATATATATATATATATATATATATATATATATATTTCATATTTTTATGTCTTTGTTTGACATTCGACAAAGCAGCAACACTCGCTAAGCACGAGGCGCGCATAAGTCTATACAATGAACTATAGAGTGCTCAAGAACGTGGTACCCCGAACGAGCATAATATATGATTTCGATATTTTTTGTTGAGTTTTTTTCTCAAGGTCTTGCTTACTTTAGGAAATAAAGTAAGCAAGACCTTGAGAAAAAAACTCAACAAAAAATATCGAAATCATCATATATATATATATATATATGCAGATTGTACTATATATATATAGATATGTAACTTGAGCTATTAATGTACAAATGTTTGGCGTCGTTATATATATATATATATATATATATATATTATATATATATATATATATATATATATATATATATATATATATATATATATATATATATATATATATATATATATATATATATATATATATATATATATATAACGACGCCAAACATTTGTACATTAATAGCTCAAGTTACATATACATAGGTTATAACATCATGTAGAGTGTGGCAAGCCTATATATCGGTTTGCCATACGAAACAAATTTGTCGTGAATAAATGTTTTAAACGAAGTAACTCAAGTTTGTCCTTTATTTGCTCTATACTTTCGTGTCGAACACTCTATTCGTATGATTCGACACCCAATATACCTATATTGATATTCGCCTCGATATCATATAGATATAGAGCTGAAATAGTCGTTTTATACCCCCAAAAGATTGCCACAACAGCCTGTTTCATCCACGAGGAATCATCAGGTGGCTGTTAGCCACCTGGTGATTCCTCTTATATAGCTAGTTTGGCATATTTAAATTAATATTATTCTATTTATTTACCCAGTTATTGCGTGACTGCAGAGAAAACATGATGAAAAATTTGTGTCTTCGATTTTTTCTTAAAATGTTAACTTTAAACTTTTTCATGCTGGTTATCATTGCAAGATTTAAGGCAGAACAATGTCGCAACAGATATTTTAAAATCGTCAGCAGTGGTGAGTCGTTGTTCTCAGTTATGAAACACATTTTATGGGCGCTTTCCATTAACACGGCCAGACCGATCTAATTGTTGAATGGAACACAAAACATTTGGGCTTCGGACCTATCTGACCGGAAAATTTACATAACATTAGAATGAGGTCCATTTTCGCTAGATATTTGAGAAACATAGACCAGATCTTTCCATTGATACAGAGAAAAGAATTCGGGTCTGACCGGTCAGACCATTAGGGACCGGTCATAAAGTATTTGCTAGGGGGTGTGGAGGATTTTTTTGGGGGGTACGAAAAACCCTAGAACCTCTGAGGGGGGTACGAAAAAAAAAACAGGACCTCTAGGGGAGTACCAAAATCTTAATACTATAGGCACGGAAAAAAATTACATTTTATAATTATTGTTGAATATTGAATGTATTTGTGAGCAGATTTAAGTCTGGAAAGATTGTTTTACTATAATTATTATTAAATCAACACAAAGGATATATGTTTCAGTCTCACTCAATGTCAGATGATAAGTAGGATTCAGGGGGGTTACGAAGGGGGGTTACGAAAATTTTTCCATAGGTTTTTGGGAGGGTATGGAAATATGTACTTAAGTTTTCATTTATCCTCCACCCCCCCTAGTAATTACTTTATGACCGGTCCCTTAAATGGAAAGTGCCCTATGCAGACGCAGTATACATGCAATATACCAGTTATATTGTTCTGAAAAAAACTCGTAAAAAAACAACAGGACCTCTAGGGGAGTACCAAAATCTTAATACTATAGGTACGGAAAAAAAATACATTTTATAATTATTGTTGAATATTGAATGTATTTGTGCCCAGATTTAAGTTTGGAAAGATTGTTTTACTATAATTATTATTAAATCAACACAAAGGATATATGTTTCAGTCTCACTCAATGTCAGATGATAAGTAGGATTCAGTATCCATGGAACTTTTGGAGTACAAATCTGATACATCTGAATTGTCAATGACAATGCTAGCAAGCTAACACCATTATAGAACCTGTTAATGATTGAAGGGGGTGGAGGTATAAAAATTTTCACTTACATTGAAGGGGGTTACGAAAATTTTTCCATAGGTTTTTGGGAGGGTATGGAAATATGTACTTGAGTTTTCATTTATCCTCCACCTCTAGTAATTACTTTATGACCGGTCCCTTAAATGGAAAGCGCCCTATGCAGACGCAGTATACATGCAATATACCAGTTATATTGTTCTGAAAAGAACTCGTAGTCATACGTAATATAATTTATCAAGTAATTGTCAAAAATAGTCATACGTAATTATCTAGAATCTCTCAACATTTTGTTTACTTTACTTTAAACAAGGTCCATCGTTACCTCTTGAAGAGATCATATCAAGCCAAAATGTCGGACACCCTGTCCAAGTGAATTGCAACTTTCTCTGCTTCAATGTACCAAAATGCGTTGGGTTTAACTTCAGAGCGAAAACCAAAGCTATAAACTGTCAACTGACCAACACCACTAAAAAAAGGAACCATACAGAAGAGGGAGAATGGACGTTGTATTGGGATGTCGATGCCGTACGTATACAATTGAAAATGTAAAGTTTGCAAACATTAGAATAAAAACAAGAAAACAATCTTGCTTTCAGTTTGCTTTCTGTTACGAGAGTGAGAGCCTCGGACAGAGCAGACAAAAGTTTAGAAAACGATCGAATTTCACATTTGAGCAAGCTCATCCATAGTTACAAATATATCGTTTAAAATATGTGTATATGACCTCAGCCCTCAAATTGAGATAGGACCAGTACGTCTATATGTTCGCAGATGGACCGCCTTCCAATAATAATACTAATAATTATTATTTATTTGTTGTGGTAATTCGAAAATTAATTGTATCTTGCAGGCAGAAAATGAAAATGAGAGAAGGAAAATGTCTGAAGGTATTCCTCACGCTTATATAACGCTGGCTTCAAGGCCCGCTATTGAAAGTTCTGGCCAAGAGATTTATCCTGAATTGGGCGTGTAAATAGAGTTGTGGTTGGTTGTTTCCCAGCTTGAAACCAGGCGTGGTGTCCACAACACAACCAGTGCTGGCATCAGTGTTGCCGCAGCGAATGTTTTAAAAGTTTTACAATGGGGTTGGGAGATTAGGGCCCAGTGCGGGCTCCTCAGAGTAAGATTTAGGTCATCATAGTATGCAATCTCGTTCCCCAAGCCTGCGATCTTCGGGAAGGAACGTGAGGCTCTGGGATAATCCGTTACAGGGAGGAATCTGATTGGCCGTTGAAATGGAATGCGCAGTTCAATCTTAGCCAGGATTCCTGGCTTCCCGCAACGGATTATCCCAGAGCCTCACGTTCCTTCCCGAGGATCACAGGCTCGGGGAACGAGATTGCATAGTATGGTTAATCCAATGGGTTAATCCTTGTTCCCAGGGCCTCTGGGTAGCGCGCGTCCTTCCTAGGGCCTGGGACACACGGAACCGGAAGTAGAAGAAAACTTGCGGTAGTTTCTAAAGCGCATGTTGTTAAATTGGGACGCTTTAGCACCCGTAAAAATTTGCACAGTGTAGTATCATGAAGAATTTGCGTTCACTTATGTTGATAGAATAATTTTACCTAGCGAAAACTGTTCAATTTCTGCGAAATAGGAGTTCTCTGCGAAGCCGATCAGATCTCTCCCTTTAGTCGTCTAACCCAGAGCCTAATTTTCAACGAGTGACCGAGTGAAAATGTCCCTGGGGACGAGAATGGGTATATGGTTTTGGCCCAGTTTGAACCCGACTAATTAGTGGGGTTTCCGAGGCTAGTATGTTAAAATATGCCTTGTGTGAGGTGTGGCATTCAGAGGCGTCCTAGTATAAGCCTGCTCATCGCGGCCAATTTTCACGATCAAACACAGATGTAATCTACTCCAATAATATATATCGTATTTTCCAGTTTTATGGGAAAACGTTGGGCAAGCTTATCACAAATCTGGTAAAAGAAAAGATGGTGTATACGCGGTATAGGTTGCCATAAATTTTACTTTTACTGTTTATTCTATTAGTTCAACCCACCTCCAGCAAACCTATCTTGACAACAGCGACACCCGCGACAAGTTGTTCAAGTTTATACAAATCTGGTGAAAGAAAGGATGGTGTGTACACTATCAACCCTGATGACCTTGGATCTTTCCAGGTCAGATGTGATATGCAAACAGATGGTGGAGGGTGGACAGTGTTCCAAAGAAGACAAAACGGAAGTGTGAATTTCTATCGTGGATGGCAAGATTACAAAAATGGTTTTGGTGATCTTAACAGTAATTTTTGGCTTGGATTAGATCAAATACATCGTTTGACAAAATCAGGACAAAATGTTCTAAGAGTGGACTTGATGGATTGGACTAACGAAACAGCGTACGCAAAGTATGGATCATTTTCTGTGGCGCCTGAGTCTGATAATTACAAACTGAACCTGAGTAGTTTTTCAGGTAAATATATGATTTGATAAATATAAATTTTATAAAATACAGTGTAAATAGCGACAAAACTAGGGATGGGATATGGCTTATATGCCTTAAGGTCAAGTTACAATAGGAAGCTTTTGCTCCACCTAGCAACGCAATTTTGGACACAAAATCATGTTATCTAAACCGTACTGTGGTCACGTGAAAAAATTGTCGGTAGATTAAAACGTGCGCCATACTCACAATTTCGTCTCGGTGACTATATGTTTTGTATTTAAGATGTGATACTGGACGTAGTATATAAGCAAGTATTGCGGTGTTTTAATTATCTATTAAATTATAAAAGTTGTAAATGTCCGAGGCGCCTAGTGAAACACAAGGGGGAGGGGGCTATAAGATTTTCTAACACATGCAGGGAGGACAGGGAGGTTTCAAAAAAGTCAAAAGTTGCTGGTCATATAATTTATACAAGGTTAATAAATCGGACTTTTATATTAATTCCTAGGAAATATAAGCTTGGACTTTAGAGAAAAAAGTTTAGATTTGCTTTTCAATTCTAAAAGTATAAGGTTAATATTTTAATAATTAATTAATTAATATTAATTCTTAGCATTTAGGGGGGAGGGGTGGCTTTGCCACTCAAGAGGGGGGGGGGGGTTATAATAATATCTGGGTGTTGGACAATACAAAAAATAGCAAACATTTACATTGTTGACATGATAATATAGTCTGTTTAAACTCTTAACTCAGAGGCCGAAAGTATCACATACTCTAAAATCCCAAACTTTCAAACATGTTAAGGAAATTTTATATATCTAAGGTAATGCTGGTGATTCGTTGACATATCACAACGGAATGAACTTCACTGCCTACGACAGAGATAATGATCGAAAGGGCAGCAACTGTGCTGTGGAATACCAAGGTGGTTGATGGTATAACTACTGTCACCGCTCCAACCTCAATGGTCTCTACCTCCAGGCAGGGAAGATATCTGATAAAGGAATGAATTGGTTGCATTGGAAAAATAACAGAAGATCCATGAAGAAAACTGAGATGAAACTACGTCCAGCTGGATTTTAGAAATCCCTATATTGACAAGAGAAAAAGAAGTTAATTCATCATGCACACTAGATAACGAGATTCCTAGATAACGAGCTGTTGCATTAGATAGATGCTATATAATCACTGTATATATTGCCTTTTATAGTTGCAACGGCCAAAACTATAGTTCAAAGATAAAAATAACACTAAATTCAAGTTTTAAGAGTATTAAATTTGTGGGATATCATGTCTGAATTTTATATGGATTTGTCTGTTTAAAACGTCTATGCAGGACATACACAACATTATACATAATATTTTTGTCCCAGAACTCCCAGACGATTCGCCATGACGGCTTCTTCAGCTAGTAGGAATGTCTGAGCATTAGGTATAACGTTCCTTCTGAACTGATATTGCCTCGTCATGATTATTATAATCTGTTATTATACAGTGGCGTAACTAAAAACCCAGTACCAACTACTTAGTTGAAACTACCAATTTATAATTTGCCCGACTTCATATTTGTCGTAAGCCTATGCACACATACAGTATAACAAAATCTATTTGAATAGCATAAATAAGCCTAAAGAGATTATTTTTAAAAGAAATCGAAGACACAACTTTTTTATTATGTTTCCTCTGCAGTCACGTAATACTCAATAGGGAGTTTAAGATCCTGACAACAAAAAGTAGCGATCTTGACTGCAACTTTAAGGTTACAGAACACCTTTGAATGTTAATTTTGCTTAAAATGTTTTTATTGGTTTCCATGAAAGCATTAGACTAGTTCTACTATCTGACCAAGTTTGAACGAAAAATGTTGAAAACTCGCAGAGTTATTTAATAAAATACATTTCGCTGCAATAAGAAAAACATTGAAAATGTAATATTCAAATTCAATTTTCTCCCGAAAAATTTTACGGTAATGACTGATTTTCAAACGAGTTGTGCTCCTGCGGGTTGTAACCAATTTTTCTCAAATTTTCACAGGACATAGCTAAAGACGTCAGTTTCGGCTTTTTTTAAATTTTGGACTGATATTTTAAAAATAAAGAGCAATTCACTCAAACAATTCAGAAATATATTGTAGTCGTCAAAGAAATCGCCATATCAGCAGAAAGACGAAATAAACAAAAATTTCCGAACACAATATTTTAGAACAACTATTTTACTGTATAAAAATGATATTTTCATAAATATAACTTAAAACCAGCAGGAGCACAACTCAAAAGCGTAACGGTACCGCGATTTAAGATTTTCCTAAATAATTCTTACAATTTTTTATTGTTTGTTAATTTTATAACTTTATCATATTTAGCATGCACTGGAGAACATTTGGTGAAAATTTGATGAAAATCGGACTGATATTGAGCGCGCAGTAGCGATTTTCCGCAAAACGCCAAAAAGGTGTCCGGTATAACCTTAAAAATGTTAAGAAACATTAAGAAATTACGAAACCTAAAAGATGAGACTTACGAAAGACAAAGACAGCTCGTTATCTAGGAATCTCGTTATCTAGTGTACATGATGAACTAACTTCTTTTTCTCTTGTAACTACACAATTGTTCAGTGTGTGTTTGAGAACAAAACGTGTTCCTGGGATTTCTAAAATCCAGCAGGACGTATTTTCGGATCTCAGTATTCTTCATAGATCTTCTGTCGTTCTTCCAATGCATCCAATCCACTCCTTTCGGAGATTTCTCTCCTGCCTTCAGGTAGCGACCATTGAGGTTGGAGTGGTGACAGCCGTTATACCACCAAGCACCGTGAAAGTGCACAGCGCATTTGCCGCCGTCATTATCTCTGTCGTGTGTAGAGAACTTCATTCCGTTGTGGTATGCCAACTAATCACCAACGTTACTTTAGATATAAAATTTCCTTGAAATATTTGAAAGTTTTCGGATTTTAGACTGTGTGATACTCTCGGCTTTTGTTATAGTCTAAGTTAAGTCTATATTATCATATCCACAAATTTATACGTTTACTATCAGTTTTCTGTGTTGTCCAATTCTTCAACGTACTAATTAACCTTTCTGAATATATTTTAATGTTTTAAATAGTCTGTGATTTGGGTTTACGGCCTTTATATTTTCATAGATTTTTTTAAACACCGTAATACTTGCGTACTATAATATCACATACTCTAAAATCCCAAACTTTCAAATATTTTAAGGACTAATTTTATATCTAAGGTAATGCTGGTGATTCGTTGACATATCACAACGGAATGAACTTCACTACCTACGACAGAGATAATGATCGAAAGAGCAGCAACTGTGCTGTGGAATACAAAGGTGCTTGGTGGTATAACCGATGTCACGAATCCAACCTCAATGGTCTCTTCCTCGCAGGGAAGACATCTGATAAAGGAATGAATTGGTGGCAGTTGAAAAAGGACAGAAGATCCATGAAGAAAACTGAGATGAAACTACGTCCAGCTGGATTTTAGAAATCCCTATAGGCCTCTGATATATTACAAGTTAGGGTTAGGGTTAGGGGTAAGGGTTAGGGAAGAGCCATGTAAATAGATATGCCATATTAAATCATTATTATTATTATTCAATGTCGTTTTCTGACCATCAGAATTCTGTAAAGTCTCTCCCTAAAGTCCAGCAAATGGCATTTCAGAGACTCTAGATTTAAACATTTTCCGGGTGGGCATGCCCTGGACCCTCTAGAAAGCTCGTGCATATACGGTGGTCAACTCGTGCCTTTGGGGCTTCACTAGGGAGGCCTTCGAAAATTTTGAACCGGGGTCCCCCTGATATAACTTTACGCCATGACGTCACCATCTATATGGCCTATATCAACCAATAAAGGCATCTTGGCGGACAAATAACCACGGTGACTTATCTTTTTTATTGCAGAAAATGCATTGTTATGAAGCTTTGAATTTTTTTGAAAGTTATCTGAAAATCGCCAGTGTAGTTTTCGAGAAACTGAATTTCAGCCTTTCCAAAGGCTAAAATGCAATCTTAAATTCAGTTTCTCGAAAACTACACTGGCGATTTTCAAATAACTTCCGGAAAAGATTCAGAACTTCATAACAATGTATTTTCTGCAATAAAAAAGGTAGGTCGCCGTGGTTATTTGTCCGCTAAGACGGCTTTTTTGGTTGATATAGATCATATAGATGGTGACGTCATGTTGTCATGGTAACATAAAGAGTAGCGATTGTGGGTTAAAATTTCTTTTTTTATATAAGAGGAAACAATAGCTTGCTTTGTGCAAAAAATTAGTTCTTTTAGATTCAAATAGCTTTTAGTTTAAAACACTGACATATAATAGAAACTGTAAGGAGCCTCTTTAAGATGGCAGGATTAGTTTTAAGATGGGAGGATTACCCGGATATTTCGAAACACATATCAGAAACAACGGGCCGTCGTGATCACTCTATTTACATGGTCTCCCAATTCAAGATAAATACCCTGTATGGCAACAACCTTCAGTAGTAGGGGGTCTAAAACTCAGCGCTATAAGCGCGTGATCTTGCAATACCTGCTGGTGTTTTCCTTTGCTCATTTTCTGCCTATAAAGGGAAAACAAATTCAAACTACCGAAACATAAATAATTCTGATTATTATTACGCCAAAGCGGTCCATCTGCACAATGCAGCATTTTGATTGGTTCCTGAGCAATCGGTAACCTGCAGCATGACGGATCGCTACCATGCACAGCTTGCGAAACAAACTATGCCTGTATAAAATATACAATCATATGGGCTACTAAAATTGATCTGCAGTAAATTGAAGGCAGCTATTTCACTAGGAAAAGTATATATACATGCGGCCCGTGAAGCTAGCTCAAGGGTAGGCTCAGAATCCAGCCGTTGTGCTCTCGGCACTCGCGAACACAACGGCTGGATTCTGAGCCTAGCTCAAGGGTCGACAAGTATCAAATTTGATTGTTTTCTAAAACATTTACTGTTTCGGCAGTCTGTTCAAATATTTGCAAAATTTACATTTTCAATTTTATACGTACGCCTACGGCATCGACATCCAGATACATGACGTCCATTTTCCCTCATGTTTACAATTCCTTTTCTTAGTAGTGTTAGTCGGTTGACAGTTTATAGCTTGGTTTCCGCTCTGCTTGCAATTCACATCGACAGGGTGTCCGACATTTTGGCTTGATATGATCTCTCGAATTCGGGAGGTAACGATGGACATTCTTTGAAATAAAGTTAAAAAATGTCGAGAGATTATATAGATAACTGCGTATCACAATATGGAGGGTATCATTCAGAACATTATAACAACTACACATGTATAAAGGACTGTAAGCATATTATTTTACTGCATGTTACATAAACTGTGTTTCATAACTGAGAACAAGGACTCACCATGGCTGACGATTTGAAAATGTTTGTTGCGACATTCTTCTGCCGTAATTCTTCCAATGAAAACCAGCATGAAAAAGCTTAAAGTTAACATTTTAAGAAAAAATCGAAGACATAAATTTTTCACCATGTATCCTCTGCATGCGGCCACTCAATACTCAATGGAGAGTTTAAGATTCTGACGGAAAAAACCGACTATTTAGTTGAAACTACCAATTTATAATTTGCCCGACTTCATTTTCACGGAGGAGAGGCAGCCCCTTCCCCCGCGTCGTAAGCCCATGTACACATATAACAAAATCTATTTGAATAGCATAAATAAGCTTAAAGATATCATTTTTAAAAGAAATCGAAGGCACAAATTTTTCATCATTTTTCCTCTGCAGTCGCGCAATACTCAATAGGGAGTTTAAGATCCTGACAAGGAAAAACGGGTACAGACAATATTGTTGAAAGCTTGTTTTCGTTCTACTTGGAATGAGACAAACAAAATTTACATACTTTTCACCGTAGCGATCTTGACTGCAACGTTAAAAATGTTAAGAAATGTTATTAAGAAAAAATGACACCTAAAAGATGAGACTTACGAAACACAAAGACAGCTCGTTATCTAGGAATCTCGTTATCTAGTGTACATGATGAATTAACTTCTTTTTCTCTTGTGCCTACACAATTGTTCAGTGTGTGTTTGAGAAGAAAACGTGTTCCTGGGATTTCTAAAATCCATCAGAACGTATTTTCATCTCACTTTTCTTCATAGATTTTCTGTCGTTCTTCCAATGCATCCAATCCACACCTGCCGGAGATATCACTCCTGCCTTGAGGTAGCGACCATTGAGGTTGGAGTGGTGACAGCCCTTATACCACCAAGCACCGTGAAAGTGCACAGCGCAATTGCCTCCGTCATTATCTCTGTCGTAGGTAGAGAACTTCATTCCGTTATGGTATGCCAACGAATCACCAGCATTACCTTAGATATAAAATTTCCTTCAAATATTTGAACGTTTTGGGATTTTAGACTATATGTGATACTCATAGTCTAAGAGTTAACAGTTTAAAAAGTTTATATTATCATGTCCACAAATTTATACGTTTGCCATTTTTTTCTGTGTTGTCCAATTCTTCAACGACTAATTAACCTTTCTGAACATATTTTAATGTTTTAAATTGTCTGTGATTTGGATTTACGGCTTTTACAATATCATAGATTATCAAAACACCGTAATACTAGCGTACTAGTATGTATGATCACATCTTAAATACAAAACGTCACGTACTGAGAATTGACCTTAAAGCATATAAACCGTAATCTAGCCCGTCCTTGCATGGCCTCGTCACCGCTTACATTGTCTATTTTATGAAATTTATATCAAATCATATATTTACCTAAAAAACTACCCAGGTCCAGTCTATAACCGTCAGACTCAGACGCCACAGAAAATGATCCATACTTTGCGTACGCTGTGTCGTTAGTCCAATCCATCAAGTCCACTCTTAGAACATTTTGTCCTGAATTTGTCAAGCGATGTATTCGATCCAATCCAAGCCAAAAATTACCGTTAGGATCACCAAAACCATTTTTGTAATCTTGCCATCCACGATAGAAATCAACACTTACGTTTTGTCTTCTTTGGAACACTGTCCACCCTCCACCATCTGTTTGCATATCACATCTGACTTGGAAAGATCCAAGCCCATCAGGGTTGATAGTGTAAACACCATCTTTTCTTTCACCAGATTTGTATAAACTTGAACAACTTGTCACGGGTGTCGCTGTTGTCGAGATAGGTTTGCTTGTGGTGGGTTGAACTAATAGAACATAAACAGTAAAAATTTATGTCATGCAACCTATTTTGTGTATATACACCATCTTTTCTTTTACCAGATTTGTGATAAACTTGCTCAACGTTTCCCCATAAAACTGAAAAATACGATATATATTATTGGAGTAAATTACATCTGTGTTTGATTGTGAAACTTGTCCGCAATTTGATACCGTCAGTTTCTTTTACCACTATCTTATCTTATCTAAAAAAACATGCATGGCCGCGATGTACAGGCTTATATTAGGGCGCCTTTGACGACCACACTCGACACAAGACATCTTTTAACATATGTTAGGTGGCCATTTGGCCTCGGAGGTCCCACTAGTTAGTGGTTTAGACTGGGCCATAAACATACCATGATGACCTAAATCTTACTCTGAGGAGCCAGCACTGGGCCTTATAAATCTTTGTTTTGCCCCCACCCCACCCCTCTGTAAAACATTTAAAATGGCAGAACTGGTTGTGTTGTCGTCAGCACGCTTGGCTTCCAAGCTGGGAGTCCCGGGCTCAATCGCTGGTCGGACTTCTACTCAAGATCTTAAAATAATTGAGGAGAAAGTGCTACCTTTACATTGACATCAGTAAATGGTTAGACAACAGACTTTCGCGTCTTCTCGAATAGGAACGTTAAATGGTAGGTACCGCGGATCCTCTACCAATTAGGCAATAGCCTGTTGCATGGGAAATCCATGCACACCAATAAGTTAGAAACTCAATTAACTTAAACATTTATGCATGCATGCATAGAACACGGAGTACAACCAACATGGAAGGATTAGGTTTTGTTGAGGCAGGAAAACCAGAGTAGCCCGGTTGAAATCTCGAAGCACAATAGCACATGCATTAGGAAACAATCAAGCACAACTCTATTCAGAAGCCATTTTCAGCGGAATAGGCTGATGTCCCAATTCAGAATAAATACCCTGGCCAGAAACCTCAGTAGCGGGTCCTGACGTTTAACTGACGGTATAAGAGTGAGGAATACCTTCAGGCGTTTTCTTTTTCTCATTTTCATTTTCTGCCTATAAGATAAGAAAACTAATTTTCAAATAACCGAAACACATAAATATTATAACTATTAGTTAATTAGTTTATTCTGTCTTTATTAGCTCTATATATACTTCGGTATATCGAGCACTCTACTAGCTCGCATATGATTCCAAATACATATATATATATATATATATATATATATATATATATATATATATATATATATATATATATATATATATATATATATATATATATATATATATATATATATATATATATATACGAGTAGGTTTATGAATACGAAACGCAAAGAGTGCTCAATATCATAAAGATAGAGCAAATGTAGAATTTCGCTTACCTCAAAATTCCGCAACAGTCTGTTTCATCAGTAAAGAATCATCAGGCGGTATGACAAGTGTCGAAAACAACGCAAACAATACACTCCCACAACTCGATTAGGCATTTCCGCGTAAACAACGCAAACAATAGATGAATGCATGCTTTGTTTCACCCACACACACCCACATTCCGGCCATAACGCATATAAGCAGTCTTATGTTCGACACTTGTCATACCGCCTGATGATTCTAGCTTTACTGATGAAACAGACTGTTGCGGAATTTTGAGGTAAGCGAAATTATATATATATATATATATATTATATACTGGGTGGCGCAAAAGAAAGTTCAAGCGTTTGCATGCTTTGCAGTAATGAAAAAACTATAACAGCTATATACGTCGCTCAAATAAACGTAGCTTTATTCATAAAAAGCTAACTTAAATTTTGATAGGTTATGCACACGATTTCATTAAATATTTACCAAGATATCAGTGTTTAAATTTGTGTAATTTTCAAAATTAGCTAAAAAGGTTTATGAGTATTCAGCGTTCATCAATGGACTGCATTTATATAGGGGAACAACGTTCAGAATCCGTCTTATTTTTAAAAACAAATCTTTATTTATTAGAAATGCACGTCCGCCGCATGCGCCGTCTTGGCTCCAAAAATCATGCAGTCGAATTGAAGGAATCTTGAATCATTTACTGCTTCAAGTTGCGGTATGCTAAAACAACGCTTTACGAAGCTGTCTGAAATTAGTTGGGTTGCTAATCGATGTGGCATACTCCAAATTTGATATTTCACCTATAGCGGAAAGGGAGGGGCGCGGCTTATCTCTGCGTTTACTCATCACTATAGCTTGCCCAGGAAATAAACTGGCAATGCCCATCGTAATGGTATCAAATTAGTTCAATAGGTCATTTTTTATATAATATATTATATAAACATTTTCAATTTTATACGTACGGCATCGACATCCAAATACAACGTCCATTCTCCCTCTTCTGTATGGTTCCTTTTTTTAGTGGTGTTAGTCAGTTGACAGTTTATAGCTTTCCCTTTGGTTTTCTCTCTGAAGTTAAATCCAACACATTTTGATACATTGTCATTGAAGCAGAGAAAATTGCAATTCACATGGACAGGGCGTTCGACGTTGTGGCTTGATATGATCTCTTCAAGAGGTAACGATGGACCTTCTTAAAAATAAAGTAAACAAAATGTTGAGAGATTCTAGAAAATTACGTCTGACTATAAAGAGAGTTTTTTCAGAACAATATAACTGGTATATTGTATGCTGCATGCTATACATAACTATGTGTTATAGCTGAGAACAAAGACTCACCACCGATGATGATTTTATAATATCTGTTGCGACATTGTTCTGCCTTAAATCTTGCAATGAAAACCAGCATGAAAAAGCTTAAAGTTACCATTTTAAGAAAAAATCGAAGACACAAATTTTTCATCATGTTTCCTCTTCAGTCACGCAATAACTGGGTAAATAAATAAAATAAAATTAATTAAAACCTGCCGAATTAGATAGACGCGTCAGAAATTTGCGCCATAATAAAGTATATCGGGTATAGTTTCCCATTATTATAATAAATACATATATTGTGAAGGGGTTTGAGGTATCATGTCTGGTGTATATATGATGAAACGTTAGGGGACTTCATCAGTATAGTAGTATGTCTTGACACCAATATAACGCCCTATTTTGTGCACGATTTTCCTAATTAAAATAACTAAGTGTGTAAATGCTACTAATATTTAAATGGCGAAACGTTTAGGTTTTTAAAATAAATCATTTCTAACCATGCATATGTCCGTTATATTTCTAACCATGCATATGTCTGTTGTATATATGTCAAAAAGAACTATGTATACTATTTAAAACACGAGTAGGGTTTTTTTATATCTGATAAAACACGACAACAAATGTTTTGAATAGCTTAAAATACGACAAGTCGACAACAAAAGATGCCGTCTCATTAGTATTGTTTATATAAGAATACTAATTATAGGATGAACAATTATATAATGCCACATGCTTTATCAGATATAAAGCCATTCCACGTGACGTATTATGGCTGACATGATTTGCCACAAGGTTTATGAATTATTAATGAGTATTTAAATATATATAATTTTTTTGCACTACGTTTGTTAGAGTGCTCGATGAAACTGTATAGCCAGAGCGTAATAAATTAAGGTACGAGAAAGATCTCTATTAAAACATCTAGAATTAAAACGTTTAAAAATTTATAAATGTTTTATGTCATTAAAATTAATAACTTAATTACCGCTCTGCTCAACTCTCTGAAGCAACGTTAAGATTAATTGAATTTAATTATAGAAATCCAAGAGATTTATATGTGACGGAGTTCTTTAGTGTGCACGTGAACTAGCCTTTTCCCAAAAGAGATCACAGTGCATTCTGGGATCGTTTGGAGGGACAAAATATATGGTGACATAAGGTGCAAATATGTGCATCAAATATCAACTTTTTAAACAACCAAAATGAAATATCTCGTTTTACATTAATTAAGCATTTAATTTAAATGTGTGCTGCCATATTTCTTGTCCCTCCAACACGGGATTCGCGCGCTAGTCCCAGGACCAATTTGGGAAATGACTAATTTAATTATACTTGCATGTTGGCATGGATGCAAGTCACAAGTTCGTTGTTAAGAACTTGGGTTTACAAATGATGAAAAACTTTTCCCACCAATATTAACACAATTTAATATATTTGTCGCCGGCCGGACTACAGGAAGGATTACTAGTCAGAGTAGAAATCTCTTGGATTTCTATACTTAAATTTTTAATTGGAAAAACTTGAGTTAAGCATCACGGTATAATTAAGCAATTAATTTTACACGACATATTTTCAAACTATTAAACGTTATAGCCGTTTAAAATATTTTAATTCAAACACTCAGTAATAATTCATAAGCTTATTGGCAAATCATGCATGTCAACCATAATATGAGGATCACGTTGATGGGGGTATATCGTGAGTCGGGATTTACCCAATTTCGGTTACTGTCAGTCGTGAAAGCACTAAAAATTTATCGTGAAACGTAAGGAAAAATATACTGTTTATCGTTTCAGAACATTTTTCAAAGATTTACCGTTAAAATACCAAAATGTTTACTGTTTAATGATTTTCAGACCCCCCCCCCCCACCCGCCCTTCCCCCCATCTAGACCCTCTAATATGTCAAGTCCATTGAGCTTTGCGCGCTTGGAGTTTAAGGTTTACAGTTTAAGGTTTGCAAAGGACAACTATTTTGAATTGGCTGTATATATATATTATATTGCGCGCAAAAGATATGGGTATTACTTATTTCGAGCCTTAGATCGAACATTAGCTTAGTGATCATGAACCAAACCTACATCGAAAGTGTTTATTATATGCCCTAGCAGGATTGCAAAGGCAATTTACCGAGTTTAGGACTTTGCCTCAAAAGGTTGCCACAACAGCCTGCTTGGGGAGCCACCTGATATTCCTCTTGGAAGAAACAGGTTGTTGTGCAGGCAACCTTTGGGGGTAAAAAACTATATATCTACTCTATCTATGTGATATCGAGCATTCTTTATACCATATCGTGAAAATATAAGCTTTACATTTAATTTTGCGAGTAAAGTTTTTTTTATGAAAAGGGAGGCGTTGAGGGTGATGGACAGGTTTTCAATCCATTTAAGGAAAAATTTAAGTGGGTGCCAAAAAATTTAGATCCCACAATTGAACTGTATTGTTCCAAGTAATTAGAGGATAAAGTTCCGCGGTCTTATAGTTATGAGGGAAAAAGTTATAGTAATTTTCCCTTTGAAGAAATTAATGCGTTAAAGGCAGCTAAAAGGTAAAATGGCGAGGATATTGTCATTAAGGAAGCGGATAAGGGGATCGGCCGTATTTGTTTGGGATAGGAAAGATTATTGACTAATTATAGAGGCCTATAAATCTATGATCATCTTAATGAGTTGCTTTATGAGGTAATTGAAGAAGATCCTTTGAGTAAAATCTCAGACCAGACCATCTGACGACCATGCATGTCAAACCGGTTGGAAAATATAGGGGTTTTCTTACAGAAAAATATTTGGAATATCTAGTTTTGCCCAAACCACGCAAACAAAATTAATTAAACATGTCAAAAAGTGGGGGGCGGGATAATTAGATATTCGTCCCCCTCCCGACTCCAAAAACTGGGGGGACGCGTCTCACCCCCATCCCCCCAGGATTGACGCCCATGTCTAGGAATCTTGTTATCTAGTGTACATGATGAATTAACTTCTTTTTTTCTTGCATGTAACTACACAATTTTTCAGTGTGTGTTTGAGAAGAAAACGTGTTCCTGGGATTGCTAAAATCCAGTAGGACGTATTTTCATCTCACTTTTCTTCATAGATCTGTCGTCCTTTTTCCAATGGTGCCATCTTATTCCTTGATAAGATTTCTTCCCTGCCTTGAGGTAGAGACCATTGAGGTTGGAGTGGTGACAGGTTTTATACCACCAAGCACCTTGGTAGATCACAGCACAGTTGCTGCCGGCCCTTTGATCATTATCTCTGTTGTAGGTAGAGAACTTCATTCCGTTGTGATATGTCAACGAATCACCAGCATTACCTTAGATATATGTAAAACACCTTAATACTTGCGTACTAGTGTCACATCTTAAATACAAAACGTAGTCACTGATAAATTGTGAGTATGGCGCACGTTTTACTTTGCCTATACCGACGTTTTTCACGTGACTGTAAGTTCAGAGGCATACGACAGGGAGAGACAGGACAGGACAGGGGGCAGAAAGAAATTTACCAGACTTTTTCCCATTGCGCCCGACTTATCGTTTTTGCCATCTGTTATAATTTCTCATAACTTTTATATATTTTGACCATTATATTGCATATTTCTTCTTTTTAAAATTATTCCCCCCCACCTTTTTTCACAACTTACGTTTATAATTTGTCCAACTTCATTTCGACTGGGGGGGGGGTTGCCGCCTTCCCCCCTGATCAGTCCTATGAATACGTTTTTAGATAACATTGATGATGGCTTTGTGTGCGAAGTTGCGTTGCAAAGTCAGCAAAAATTACGTCCTGTAAATGACCTTAAGGCACATAAGCCACACCCTACTCCCTCCCTGCATGGCTTCATTACAACTTACATAGTCTATTTTATAAAATTTATATTTATCAAGTTATATTTACCTGAAAAACTACCCAGGTCCAGTCTATAACCGTCAGACTCAGACGCCACAGAAAATGATCCATACTTTGCGTACGCTTTGTCGTTAGTCCAATCCATCAAGTCCACTCTTAGAACATTTTGTCCTGATTTTGTCAAACGATGTATTCGATCCAATCCGAGCCAAAAATTACCATTAAGATCACCAAAACCATTTTTGTAATCTTGCCATCCACGATAGAAATCTACACTTGCGTCTTGTCTTCTTTGGAACACTGTCCACCCTCCACCATCTGTTTGCATATCACATCTGACTTGAAAAGATCCAAGGCCATCAGGGTTGATAGTGTAAACACCATCTTTTCTTTCTCCAGATTTGTACAAACTTGAACAACTTGTCACGGGTGTCGCTGTTGCAATAGAATAAACAGTAAAAATTATGTCAAACTGTTCTGTGTATACACCATCTTTTCTTTCACCAGATTTGTGATAAACTTGCTCAACGTTTCCCCATAAAACTGGAAAATACGATTATATATATTATAGAAGTAAATTGCGTCTGTGTTTGATTGGGAAATTTGTCCGCATGCAGTTTGATACCGTCAGTTTGTTTTGCCACTATCTTATCTCGACATGCAAAACTTGAAACTAAAACAACATGCATGGCCGCGATGTGCAGGCTTATATTAGGGCACCTCTGACGACCACACCCCATACAAGGCATATTTTAACATACTGGGTGGCCTCGGAGGCCTACTAGTTAGTTGTTCAGACTGGACCTTAACCATACCATGATAAACTAAATCTTACTCTGAGGGACCCGCACTGGCCCTAACCTTTGTTTTGGCCCATCACTGTAAAACGTTTACATCACTCGCTGCGGCAACACTGATGCCAGCACTGATTGTGTTGTGGTCACCACGCTTAATTGGCTTTCAAGCTGGGAGTCTCGGATTCAAACGCTGGTCGGACTTCCATTTCAAGGTCTTAAAATAATTGAGGCCGAGAAAGTGCTACCTTTATACATTGACTTCAGTAAATGGTTAGACATAAGGACGTTAAATTGTAGGTACTTCGGATCCCAATACCATTTATGCAATAGCTTGTTGGGAAATCCGCTCACCAATGAGTAAAACTCGATAAACTTAGACATGCATGCATACGACACGGAGTACAACTAACATGGAAGGATTAGTAGTTTTGTTGAGGTGGGAAAACCAGAGTAGCCCGGTTGAAATCTCGAAGCACATGCATTAGGAAACAACCAACCACATGCAACAGACTATTTACATGCAATTTCAATTTTAATTCTGCAATTTGAACTGATTTGAACATTTAGGAAAATTTTAACTATAAATCGCAGAATTTGTTTGAATCACACTAGGCCTCAGTCTCAGGACAGAAATTCCAAATACTTGATAACTGGATGGTTTCTGTATACTGCGTATCATATTGTTATTGAAGAACATATACTGATGTGGTGAATTTAATTTCTGAGTCACCACTGACTACTGTCGATGAATAAAATGGGGATTTGGCCCTATATCACACAGCTGTAGGATGTCTTAATTTCTGGTATATACCAGAGCCTCTGAACCGCGTGGAGGCCCTGGATACGAGGTTGGCCAGAACCCTCAGTAGTGAGCTTAAGCAAATGACGTTTTTGACAACACGAACGGCATGAGTAACGTCAGAAGACTGGGTCAAGGGCTGTGATTGGTGAAAAACGTCAACTTTACTTCCGGTCAACGTCTGTGTTGTCAAAAACGTCACTTGCTTAAGCTCACTAATAGTAGGTCTTCACGTCAGCGGTATAAGCGTGAGGAATACCTTCGGACGTTTTCTTTTTCTCATTTTCATTTTCTGCCTATAAGATAAGAAAATTAATTTTCAAATAACCAAAACATATAAATAATAACTATTATTATTATTATTATTATTATTATTATTATTATTGGAAGGCGGTCCATGTGCAAACATAGGCGTATGGGACCTGTCTTGTTTGGGGGGAGGATGATTATTATTATTATTGTGTCTGTTGCCCGAAACCCGTCACCCGAATTTTAAAAATGAATCAATAATTTACTAAAACGTGCTTTCTATACACGAACCAGAACCATTGGCGAACATTACTAATTTATACGAACCAGAACCATTAGCAAACCATTTCAATCACTAATTAATACCATAGATATTTTATATACACTAGATGGGGCATCTGTTTTAGTAAAATTGAAGCCAAGAATATTCCAGCGGTTACCCCCATTTGAATATATCTAGATGGCGACCATGTTGGTATTAACTTTCATCATTTGAATAGTTTAAAAATGTATTTGAAATGTATTTGGTTTACCTTAATATTTAATTCCTTGTTTAAGAAATAGAAAACATACGAGTCTTCTCATTTCATGGGAATATCATGAGTCTGCAATCACGGCTTCAATTTTTGAATTGTAGAATAATTAGATGAACTATCTAGTGTATATAAGATATCTATGATTAATACGAACCAGAACCATTAGCGAACCATTTCAATCACTAATTAATACGAACCAGAACTATTAGCGAACCATTTCAATCACTAATTAATACGAACCAGAACCAATAGCGAACAATTTCAATCACTTATTAATATTTCTTTTCCCAAACTTTTTCCTATCAAATTCATGTTTTGCCGACCACGAAAACAAATTCTCACTAGGATTTGCAATTATTAGTTATTTGCAAGTAGCTAGGGGTTTGCAATTATCCCCCACTCCCCCCTTTATTGCCGGCCCTTGTTATACATTTTAAATGATGACAGAATATAGTTTCTAATGCAAGTCCGCAAAACGGAGAACCGAAACCAAAAACGGGAATAGATCGCCCAAAAAATTGCGGTTCCTGAATTGTGGGGGGGGGCGGGGGCTGCAGCCCTTCCCCCGGGCCGTACGCCTATGTCTGCAAAAATTGAGCATTTTGATTGGTGCTGAACAATCGGTAGCCTCTGAAGTACGCAATTTAGTACGGATCTCTAAGACGGACAGTTCCCTAATATATATTACATATCATATACATAAGAGTCATATCTTCAAGCCACCGTGGGCAGTGTTCTGTTTATTATATAGTCCCTGCATGCAAACATTTTCAATTTTATACGTACGGCATCGACATCCCGATACAGCGTCCATTCTCCTTCTTCTTTATATTTTCTTTTTTTAGTGTTGTTAGTCAGTTGACAGTTTATAGCTTTCCCTTTGGTTTTCTCTCTGAAGTTAAATCCAACACATTTTGATACATTGTCATTGACGCAGAGAAAATTGCAATTCACATGGACAGGGTGTTCGACGTTGTGGCTTGACATGATCTCTTCAAGAGGTAACGATGGACCTCCTTTAAAATAAAGTAAACAAAATGTTGAGAGATTCTAGAAAATTACGTCTGACTATAAAGAGAGTTTTTTCAGAACAATATAACTGGTATATTGTATGCTGCATGCTACATAAACTATGTGTTATAACTGAGAACAAAGACTCACCACTGCTGACGATTTTAAAATATCTGTTGCGACATTTTTCGGCCTTAAATCTTGCAAAGAAAACCAGCATGAAAAAGGTCAAAGTTAACATTTTAAGAAAAAGTCGAAGACACAAATTTTTCATCATGTTTCCTCTGCAGTCAGGCAATAAGTGGGTAAATAAATAAAATTAATTAAAACCTGCCGAATTGGATATAGACGTCAGGAATTTGCGGCATAATAAAGTACATCGGATACAGTTTGTCATTATTATATAGATATATTATGAACAGGTTTGAGGTATCATGTCTGGTGTATATATGGAACGTTTGAGGACTTCGTCAGTATAGTAGTATGTCTTGACGCCAATATAACGCCCTATTTTACGCATGATTTTCCTAATTAAAATAACTAAGTGTGTAAATACTAATTAAGCGGCGAAACATTTAGGTTTTTAAAATAAATCATTTTTAACCATATTGATGATGTCTGTTGAAGTTTTTTAACTATGTGTACTATTTAAAACACGAGTAGGAGTGTTTTATATCTCATAAAACACGACAACGAATGTTTTAAATAGCTTAAAATACGACTACAAAAGATGCCGTTCATTAGTATTCTTTGTACAAGAATACTAATTAGGATGAACAATTATATAATGCCAGATGTGTTTTATCAGATATAAAGTCACGTGACATATTATGGCTGACATGATTTGCCACAAGTTTATGAATTATTAGTGAGTTTTTTAAATATATATAATGTTTTGCAAATACGTTTGCTAGAGTCGGCTCGATGAAACTGTATAGGCCAGAGCGAAATAAATTAAGGTACGAGAAAGATCTTTATTAAAACATTTTAAATTAAAACGTTTAAAAATTTATAAATGTTATATGTATTAAAATTAATTACTTAATTACCGCTCTGCTTAAGTCTCTGAAGCAACATTAAGATTAAGAATTTAATTATAGAAATCTAAGAGATTCATATGTGACGGAGTTCTTCAGTGTGGACGTGAATTAACCTTTTCCCAAAAGAGATCACAGTGCATTATGGGGATCGTTTGGAGAAACAAAATATAAGGAAGGCCAAATATGCATGTGTATCAAATATCAACTTTTTACTAAACAACCAAAAATGAAATATCTTCTTTTTACTTTAAACTTTTAATTTAAATGTGTGCTGCCATATTTCTTGTCCCTCCAACATTGGATTCTCGCCACTAGGCCCAGGACTTTGGGAAATGGCTAATTTAATTACTTGCATGTCGGCATGCATGCGAGTTTGTGCGGCATGTGCGGCATGCATGCGAGAGAGTTTTTTCAAAACAATATATAACTGGTATGTATACTGTGCTAGGCTACATAAACTGTGTTTTATAACAGAGAACAAAGACTCACCACTGCTGACGATTTTAAAAGATTGGTTGCGACATTGTTCTGCCTTAAATCTTGCAATAATAAGCAAAATCAGTAAGTTCAAAGTTAACATTTTAATAAAAAATCGAAGACACAAATTTTTCATCATGTTTCCTCTGCAGTCACGCAATAACTGGGTAAATAAATAAAATAACAAAAATTTAAATAGGCCAAACTAGCTGTATATTACTTCGAGTCTTCATCAGAATTATTTATGAGACTCGAATTACCGAGTCGGAAGCTCAATAAAATTTATTATCAGTAGTCCGGAGAACTTTCACAAACTATAATGATTCATGCCCGATGTATTATATTGGTTGTGCAAAAATTGTTGTATATAGTGTACACATTATCCGAGTACCTCATTCTGAGGAAGGCCATGACAAGCGACCGAAAATATTTAATGTTTAGTTTCTTTTTAATAGTTAAAGATTAGTATAATAAAAACAGTTCTTCGTACGTAGCGTACAATATGGAAATGTATATATGTATATAATATGTATAATAAGATGGGTACGAGAAAGATCTTTATTAAAAGATTTTAAATTTAAACGTTTAAAAATTTATAAATGTTATATGTATTAAAATGAACATTTGTTTAAATATTTATATATATATATATATATATTTATATATATATATATATATATATATATATATATATATATATATATATATATATATATATATATATATATATATATATATATATATATTTTACTCATTAAATTTATTAGGGTATCGTATAAACGTAATGCCAATTTGAAAGAGCTATTGGCGCAATCTCGTTCCCAGAGTATGCCTGTTCTCGGGTTAGGTATAGTGGCCATTACCTAACCCGCGAACAGGCACACTCTGGGAACGAGATTGCTATTGGCGCCATAACCTCGTTCCCAGGCTCCTTCCCTCCACAAGAGGGAAGAGCCTGAGAACGAGGTTGGGTTCAAACTGGCAATTTTGTCGGCGATTTTGTGTTTCTGACAGATGCAAATGACTGATCTCGCACACAAATGTATTATAATAGAGTCGCTTTCCAGAAGTATAAACAATTCTAAGTCTTTCGCATGTCATTCATTCGACTACGAGTGCCACCGAGGAGAAAATCGCAGACAGATTGCTATAAGGTGAACCAGGCTTACATTTTACACGTAACTGCCAGGTCAGGGCCCCTTGCCCTTGCAGATAAGCTACACCGAAATATGTCGGGATAATTACTCAGAACAGTTAGATCATGTTGTGCCCAGTATGGTTTCTGGTCGAATCACTGCAGAGTGGGGAGATGCTAATTCGGCCTATCTCACGATCGTCATTATCCGCCATTAACAATGCATCATGATGCTCAGGAGTGTGTGAGAGAACGGCTTCTTCGTCAAGGCAAATATATTCCATAATCCAACTTAAGAGAATTAAAACATCTTATATGGAAAATGAAAGTTAAGGAGTCAATGTTTATAACTGGTAAGTCATTGTCCATTGATATGTAGGTAGAAATAATTTTTAGAGATGACTGCAGGCAACTTAAAATTCTTTTCGTTTTTTATAAAGACTGTGAACATACCACACCCTAGCGTAGCGTATTTCTTTGCTTCCTCAACACTATAGGGCAGAAATAATGACATCCACAAAAGAAAACGTTACCGTACATTTTGATATACGGTTGCATATAGGCGTTTATTTTTATATACGGTAGAGTCACGAAAGATCGACGTCAACGATTTCCAAGTCTATTTGCAGTCCAATGAAGACATACTATTTCAACCCAACTTTTGTAAAACTTATTTTGATATTAATTTCACTATAGTGCTTATGATATTAATTAACTTAAAATAGCCCTCGTTATATAATACACTCAATTATACAACTCATTAATTTTTTTTAATTTCGTGATTTTTCGTGATTCTAGTTTCACAGTAAGTATACTTCACTGTAGCGATATCATACTAGACTTGCTATACAAGTTGATTCATCATTCGTATTATATTTAGCTGTGCGGTTGAGCTCAAGTTTCTTAAAGTTAAAGTTCGCTCCCTCGCCTCGCCCATGCATGCATTCGTTATATTTGCACACTCGTTTTGCAGACAAGTTTATATACAATGCGTTAAGATGCGTATGAACTTGTAGCAAGTCTAGTGTATCTAGTGTCAATGGTTTATACTGATTTATGCAATTATGCTCCGTACGTTCACACCACCAGATTGATTCGTATTCAAATTCGTACGATTTCGCCTTGTGCGGTTAACACCGGACGCATCAGATGAAATCAATCCGACAGATACCCAACGATTCCCATTCCCCTGTACCGTAGGCTGCGTGTCACGCAGTTAGATGTTCTCAAATTCGCTCATGCGTATTAAACATATACAAGTGAACATGCACATGAAATCCGGTACAAATTTGATCTAAGGCCGTTGAGGCAGACTCACGAATAAGATCAAATGAAAGTGGCAGAAAAGATTAGAGCGGTTTGCAGTTGTTTTTGCAAACCGGGCACCGTGCTCGAATTTTGCCATTTCACCCACTATCGTGCTTCTTTTGCCAAATCAAAAGAACGAACGCGTGCAGCTTTCTGGTTCTGAAAGGCCCGATTCGCAGGCAAACAGTGCGCGCAAAGCAGGCTGGTCATTTCGCATTGGTTAACAGCCCCACACTCAATTAACCACAAAGACTCGTGCACAGATGTTGCTTCGCAACATCCGTGAGAGTCAAAAACGGTGGCAATTCTCTACGCCTGCGGTTGATTGCATGCACGCAGGCACGTTTTTGAATGACACTGACAAAAAATTATTTCCTATAGAGGTGCACGTGCAACGTTTTATATTCAGATCACAAGGCCTTTCTATATTTAGGCTAGCTTGATAAACATCTTCATGCAGTTCAAACTTACTTCTATATTAGGCCACATAAAATAAATTCCTTGATTCTCATCACCGCCCGACTGTATTTTAAGAGACGCGTGAATTTTTTTTTATATTTTGTTATACAATATAAATGAACCGCCCGACAAAATATTTCAAGACAGTTAAGTTTTTTATATTTAAAATTGGGTTTTTAGTGCCATTTTAAACTGCCAATTTCAAACAAATAGAACCTTGAAAGAAATTTCATTGCATTTTAACGGAACTTCGCATTCAGTGGAAGGGTTCAGTCATTGTTCGTGGAGAAATATGTTCATTTTGGTTTGTGACACTTCACTTTGGAAATCACAGAAATATTAAATGTTAGGAATTATCAGTTTTTTATTTATTGATGATAAATTATATAAATATAAAATATAAACCTCCCGGCTCTTCATTTTCAAAGTCTAGTGATGAGAATCAAGGAATCTATTTTATGTGGCCTTATAAGATGCGTGCATGTACGCGCATATATGAGCTACCATGCATGCATCATCGGCGAAGAAATTATATTGCTATATATTCTTAGACAGTGTAGACAGCATAGACTCTATTTCTATTCTGTGGTATAGATTCCTATTTTTTTCAAAGTCATTAATCAAAATGGCCCACAGTATAGTCGGTCAGTAAAGAGAAAAACGATCGCTCTTTCATAACAATTATCCTTAAAAGTTTTCCTACTTTTCTCATGCTCTATAGAGCTTGGACGTGGTTTGTGGTTTATTTAATATTTATTGGACCCATCAGTTGCATGGAGAGAAGCTCTATTTTTATTCAAAATGATCCTATCAACAATAATCAACTTATTTATAGAATTATAGACCACTATAAAGAGTGACCTTGTTTTGTGGTTTTGTAGCAGAGTTTTGAAAAAAAAACAATCTTTCACTAAAATTTTGAGTTATCGAGTTTTGATTAGAATTTGATCATACTTTTTTAGAAGTTAAAGAAACTTCAGTCTTCTGTTTTAAATATATATTTATATAGTTATTTCTACAACAAGTTTTGTGACTTGGCTTTACATTATAACTAATGACTTTTTCTGTCTCATGTTTACGTTCTTATATAGTTCTCATCGGAATTGCGAGACTGAGTTCCGGTTTATGGCAAAGTAAGTACTGCACTGAAGAGTTGTGGGACTGAAATAAGAAATCAAATCTTACATATATATCTCCAGCACTTTCTCTGTATTGACTGTAATATTGGATTGCTTCATGATTTACAGTGCTCTTCTAATACGTGTACGTTTGTTTACGTTTATTTAGCTTTGCCAACTAGGACAGAGTCACCACAACAGCATATTCCAATTACTGTGCGCCCTTTTACCTAACGCACCCTGTCAACTTTCCCTGTGAGAAGAAACCGGATTACCCGGAGAAAACCCACGACTTTCGGCAGAGCGTTGACTTTTTACTCTTTTCACATGAGGACTGGGTTCGAGTCGCATTGGGAAAGTTCTCACTGGGATTTGAACCTGCAGCCTTGGAGGTGAAAGGCAAGTGCGCTAACCACTTCGCCACCGAAGCCCCATAATACCTTTTAGATTCTCACGTAATTCATCTATAGGGAAATGGGATTTACAGAAAATTTCGGCTGGGAAATGGGATCTAACGCCTGTATTCTAAAAGCTCACTCACACTCAATGAGTGGAGGTTCAATCTGAGCTTCTCTTCAGTGTGAATGCTGTTTTTGAATAGCTGGAGGGTGAGTAGTCACATAGTAAGGTACGACACTAACCCTCCAGCTATTCAAAAACAGCAATGACACTCGAGAGAAGCTAAGATTGAACTTCCACTCATTGAGTGCGAGTATGCTTTTACAATACGGGCGTAAACCCCCACCCCCCTTCAGGACCCTCTTTGTTTCAACCTCGTATCAACGCAGGTCTAAACTATATACCCACATGTTGTATTTATAATTAGGTTGTATTCACAACCCAATTGACGTGGTTTTTGTATTGGACGGATCGGGAAGTGTTGGTCCAAATCGTTTTGGTTTGTTCAAATTATTCGTACAGAAGCTTGTTCTTCAGCTGAACGTCGGCGAGAATGGGACAAGGGTTGCTGTAATGCAACTTGGTGACACCAAGGAGACGAAATTTGAGTTTGGAATTAACAATTACTCAGATGTTAGCATGTTGCTTCTGGCGATTAAAAATATAAAGTATCAGTACGGAAGACTGCAGAAAACTGAAATTGCATTGAGATTGGCCGAGACTGAGGTAACATTCCGCATATCGTTGCTTTTGCTTTAGCATGGGGTCGACAATAGGTTTCTGTGGGGCATCGGATAACGTTTAAGCCCTCAGCACCAAGGAAACATTGTTGAACAAACATTGTCTCATGCAGGTCATGGCTATACTATATGGCTCTAGAACGGAAACCATCTTTCCCGAAGGTGGACAAACCAGGAAACATTGTTTCCTAGCCATGTTTCCCGAAGGTGGACAAACCAGGAAACATTGTTTCCTAGCCATGTTTCCCAAAGGTAGGCAAGCCAGGAAATATTGTTTCTGAATCCACTTGGAAAACAAATATGTTTTTGAAATGTTGTATGGAAACATTAGAGTAATTATCGCAATTTTCAAATGGTTTCAAGTGGAAGAGAAGAAAATAGCTTGAGCGAGGTTGGAAGAAGTCGCGGGATCCGGGGTGACTAAAATCTACTGGAAAACGTGCGGGATAAAAACCTATTGTGGACTCATATATGCTATTTTTGTTGTTTTATCAAAATCTCTTGTCAAATCAATCTAAACAAAAAGTAACGGAATATCTAATATTAATACTAAATAACTATTGACGGGTTAAATTTAGGTTTTTAATGATGAAGATACAACGGACAGGCCTTGGGCAAAAAATGTCGTAGTGCTGATTGCCGAAGGACCATCATCGACATACCCCGTAACGAATGTCCTACAAGAAGCGAATCATTTGAAAAAGTCTGGAGTTCAACTGGTCACAATTGGTGTGGGTAGAAGGATTTCATCACCAGAGTTTCAAAATGAACTGTATTCTGTAGCAAGTTCTCCTCGCGATGTTCTCTTTGCCTCGGATGACGAAATTTTGAACTTGGTGGATCATTTAGACGGAACGCTTTGCCCAAATATTACAGCAACCTCTTCAGGTAATGATAATAATGACCTATTTTTTATATTAATCACACTGGGTGTGGTTGCCCAGAGGTTCATCATGTATGCTCGATAACTAAGGCCTAAGGGTTGTTTTGTAGAGGGAGGAAAACCGGAGGCCCTGGAGAAGAACCATCAAAGCACAAGAACAAACCAACCAAATTTTATTTGTATAGGTAATCATGCGATGTTACTCGTACAATTAGGGATTAATAGTACGAGTGATGTTTGGAAATTTTGCCAAAATTGGACGAGCCGCCAGGGCAAGTCCAATTTGGCAAAATGTCCAAACATCACGAGTACTATTAATCGGTAATTGTAAGAGCAACACCGCATGATTACTTGTTTATTATTAGCCCAAAAAAATTGGATAATTCTCAATGTCAACATCATTCTCGACAAAGCCCAGTCTTACCAGACTTTCAACCAAAATTCGGTGCTTGTGTTCGTATTTTCATTTAGTTCTTTTGTTTTAAGTTCCTCTAGGGCAATTTCATTTGTGTTTAAATACCTTTCCGCCATTTTGTTTGTTTTGGGAAAATCATTAATTGTACTGCAGTACACTTATAATGAAATATACTTGTACTCCTCTTAACCAATCAACATCCAGTAATTTTGTCATGCTAATAATAAGGGAAGTTATCCAACCTAAGTACAGTCCACCCTACCCTACCCTAGACCTATAGTAGTTGGCTTTACTCAGCAGAGGAATAACAGCGCGTTAACCGCCAGGTGAAATTAATTCGCTTCCTGCACTGATATCAATGATAGTAGATTAGCCTTGCAAAGAAAGTAGTGGTAGATGTGCATAGAATAGGAATAGTGAAAGCTGTACCATGAACAAGAGCAAAAGTACACAGGGCTGTCAGAATTATTCTGAGTGGTGTGTTGATAAAGTAGGCGGCTGTGGGGCGGTCTAGGGAGTTCAAATTAACTATAGCCATGTATATTGATTAGATAGCAACACAACTGAGCTCTATATAACCAAATTATGACGTATCACTACATTTTATTCATCTTATCTTATCTTAAATAACTAAATCAGTTTTACGAAATAGTTCGTTGTTTTCGAAAACAACCAGAGCGAGTCTCATCCTTATGTTTTGCATATCTCACTATGTGTAGTAAAAATACAGGGAAACTAACCTATATCTTCTCTCATTCCAGTTCAAAGTAGCAGCGACGCAACGAAACTCGCAGCCACGCCAGTTCCCGCCAAAGTTATCACCTCTGTTCTTGTCAAAACTATGACTATATGGATGACGTCATATGTAGCTGCACCCGCGATCTGTAAAACATCGATAGCTCCAACCAAGTCAAGTTTCATAAAAACTATGCCAACCTCGTCAATGGTGAATCAGTTGGAAGAACCAACAGTTGGTAATATGCTATTATTAAACCTGTTTTCTACTTCAACCATATGTCGTGACGTACTATAGAATTTTGTGTTAATGCCATTTTTGCTTGGTGTTCAGGAAACAAAAAATAAACGTTTCTTTATGATATATTCAGGAAACTGAAAAACAAGCTTTAAAGCATGAGTTTAAGCATGCAGTAGAATTTGCCAACGTGAAACAGCCTTTGAATACAGCCGCTATTCACAGCATGAACTCCACCTTTGAATTTACTATACGAGTAAATTCTTAAACACGTCCGAATTTATCATTATGATAAATTCGCGGCAAATTTTGAATTTATCATAATAATAAATTCGCGGCACCTAACACTAACCCTAACCCCTAACCACTAACCACTAACCCTAACTTTTTAAATTTTTAAACTTTTTTAAAAATCTAACTTTTTAAACTTTTTTTGCTTTTTAAAACTCTTCTAAAACTTTTTAAAACTTTTTTAAAAACTATTTTTTTAAAAAACTTGAAAGTGCCATTACATTTATAACAGGAAATCTTGTCTAATGCTTGTGGTTTTATGATTAACTCTATTGATAAATTCAAAATGTGCCGCGAATTTATCATAGACGTGTTTAAGAATTTACTCATATAGTAAATTCAAAGGTGGAGCTCATGTTGGCTATTCAACGCTCATTCCGTGATAATATTAGATTCTGTTCTTGATTTCAACTAAGAACTGATTCGTTGAAAATTAACTGCATGGAATTTTTTAATAGTTGAAAAGGAAGAGAAGAAAAAGAAGAAAACTTTTCGGAAAGTGTTTTCAGGTGAGAAATAAATGAAAGATAAACATCTGGGGCCGGTTGTATGAAAAAGTGATTAAAGTTAACTATAGTTAGTGGAAATGTCATCCAATAAGAAGCGCGTATTCGAGAGTTAATCACTATTTAACTACTAAATAGTGATTAAAAAAGTGATTAAGAGTTTTATACAACCGGCCCCAGAATAGATCATTCCGGCTACAGACTAAATTTTGATCTAGGCAAGAAGAACAAAATCCATCACCACAGTTAGAAAGAGCATGTTAAAATGAGTAAAATTGCAAAGTTTGGCCGCGAAATGTTGTAAAATACGGAAAATATAGCGCTGCGAAATTTGCAAATTTCGTATTAATTTTTATTAATATATAGTAGAGAGTGAGATACTGTTACTGAAAAATACACAGTGAGATATTTTCCATATCTTCACTGGTGAAGATATCGATCACGTGACTTTTAGTATTTATACAATTTTTTGCTTGGGACTATATAATAAACAGAACATTACACGGTGGCTTGAAGATATGACTTTTATCTTCTCGTGTTAAAAACAATATTTTACTCACTCGCTGCGCTCGTTCGTAAAATATTGTTTTCGCCACTCGAAGAAAAGTCATATCTTCGCGCCGCCGTGTAATATCCTCTATGTATTACGCGCGGGAAAATGCACCATATTTGGACCGAAAGTGGTGCATTTTCCCGTGCGTAATACAAATTAATACAAAATTTGCTAATTTCATAGGGCTATATTTTCCTACAACATTTCGCAACCAAACATCGCAATTTTACTAATTTTAACACGCTCTTTCTAACTGTGGTGATGGACTTTGCTCTTCTTGCCTAGATCAAAATTTAGTCTAGCTGGAATCATCTATTGTTACATAGCCATGGTGAACACCAAACGTGATTGGTTAATTTGTATGTCACGTGGCTTTAGATAATTGCATCTCTCCGGGCAACAACACTCGGAGTAATTATTTCCAACTGTTTTAGGAAAATTGCTGAAATGTTTTACATGCAACTACGATGACGAAGTGGCCAAGGAATTTTCCATTGATTGCGAAAGACTAGAATGTGCACCGGATGAAACCTACTGCGCAGATGCAATACTAGAGCATGCTGGGAGAAAATTCGTACGCAAGAGATGCGCGACTGGTCAATTTTGTAACAGCACCGCTGAGCAGTGCGTTGGCGAGTTTCAGCATAACGCTGAGTACACACACTGCAGTGTCACATGTTGCGCAGACGAGTTTTGCAATCCTTATAGTCATGCCAGTTATATCATCGCATCTGTTTACATGAAGTTTCTCCTAGCCTTCGTCGTGCTGCTGGTAAGATTGATCGTGGACAACCACTGAATGGATGGCTTTGAATTGGCTTTGCATAACGTCTTAAATATGACGAAATTGTTAGTGATTGAATCGCGTGGAGAACTGTACGAGTTAGAAAGACACTGGACCATTCTGATTACACGTTTTATGCAAAGGAGCCAAGAAACAGTTTTCTTCAAGACACATCATTTCATTTCCATAATTGTCACATGGCAACTGCATATTTATTAAGAGGCAATTTTATTCTTTGTCGCGTATTTGCGATGAAAGGTTTTCAAAACCTAAAATCGTTTTGGCGTTCCTCTCAAAATTACTTTGTTTTAGCTTTATTTAATTTTTGTAGTTTATACATTTAGCAACCTTTTTAAATGTCATGGCGGTTGTAAACACAAAATAATAGTTAAATACTGTCAATTTAAATACAATTATCATTGATGCTGTAAAATTGACGCCATATATAAGCAAAACTTACTGAGCTTATAAGCAAAACTTTTCAGACATCATTTTCTCTTTGGCGTACCATCTAAAATCTCTTCATTTCAGCATATTAATTTTACAGATAAAAGACAAATTTTTTTAAGCGCGTTACGAAACACACAAAAGTTCCTTTAAGCTTTCGATATGATCGATTCATATTAATTATAAAGTTTACAGAAACTTTCAAAAATAATGTATAATTAAGAAGCATTTGAGGTAGCCTCTCAAAAACACGTAACAACTACATTGATGAACGTAACCATTGTGGGTGATATCAGCGATAGTGGGGATACGTATAATGCATCAATTTAATGAATGATCTTACCAATATAATTGTTTATTGAAAACTGCATCAATTTAATAAATGATCTCACCACGTTGTCTTTACCTGGTCTTCTTGAATGCATATTAAACTAGTCCTGAGGTACAATCAACATCGTTCAAACACTTTATATAAATCAGGTAGGTTTGCAACTTGAAGTAACGTCCCATCTTCAGCTAAACGTTTCGGCGGTATCAATCCACAACGGAAGGCTGGGAAAAGCACATGTTCGACAGTCCACGTCCAGTTTTTATCATGTCCATTTTCATTTGTCTCCTCCCCGGTGTAAGGGTCAGGCTTGAATGCGTAGAACTTGCTGCATTCCTTTGCAAACGATTGAAAGCATTCTTTCTCGCTTTCCCAGTCAACCTGTGAAAGATAGTTTTATGTTAATCTATGAACGAACGATGTTAGTTTTGAGCGAATGCGATCAGAGATGCTACACAGGGACCAGGGTGTCTAAAAAAAACCTGCAACCCTATAATTTGCATAACAGCCACTGCAAATCTTTGAATACACACCTCTGTGGCCAATCTCAGTACAAACATAGGTAAACCATTAAGATTGGGCACATAATCTTCTAACAACATCGGCAACGATTTCAAATTCCCATCGGTGTCTACTTCCAAGGAAAAATAATCTGCCAACATGGCAGATTTTTCTTTCAAAATTTTCAAAACGTATTCTGCTAGTTCTTCTTTTGGACCGTCTTCTGGAGTCCAGCCCGAATTTGGGGCGTTCAGGGCAAGAAGTGCGAGTTCGGATATAGGTGCGGGTGGGTTCAGGCGAATATGACCAAAATTACCAAATGCGAAGAGAGCAATTTGATAGAACAGCTCTGTACTTAGCGAAGTTACGTTGGTTAGGTACAATCTTGTACCATGTTGCATCAATGCCAGTGATTTTTCAACACAGCCAACAAATTTATGATTTTGAAGCATTTCTTTAAGGTCTTTATGTTCCGCTCCGTCGATTTCAGCTCGCAACTCTAACACGCTTGATAGACGAATTTCGCGACGCTCTGGGTTGGGTGATGGTGATGTGTTTGAGCCGCCAGGTTTGGTCCCGCTGGAATCTGAAAAGTATACAGCGACAAATTTCAGAACTATTCTCAGAGATATGAAAAACTATAGTTTCATCATATGTTAGAATAGTATGAAACTAGTTTTACATATTTCTGAGAATGGTTCTGAAATAGAATTGAATCTCCAAGACAAGCAATAAATCGTCGCGAAAATATTTCTTGTAGTGATAAACCGATATCCATATGGGCGTACCAGATATTGGTATATCGGCCCTAAATTATATGTGTCGGATAATGGTATATCGGCCCTAAATTATAATCGGCGTATCGGATATTGGTATATCGGCTCTATATTATAATATAGATATCGGCGTATCGGACATTGGTATATCGGCTCTATATTAAATTAAAATACTCATTAAAAATTCATAAACCTTGTGGCAAATCATGTCAGCCATAATAAATCACGTGGAGTGACTTTATATCTGATAAAACTCATCTTCATTAGTATTCTTTATATAATTGTTCATCCTAATTAGTATGATTATATAATTGTTCATCCTAATTAGCATTCTTTTGTAGTCGTATTTTAAGCTATTCAAAACACTCGAACTCGCGTTTTATCATATCTAAAACGCTCGGCTGCGCCTCGCGTTTTAAATATGATAAAACACTCAAGTCACTCATTCTCGTGTTTTAAATACTACATATAGATATCGGCGTATCGGATATTGGTATATCGGCCCTATTTATAATATATATCGGCGTATCGGTTGTTGGTATATCGGCCCTATATAAAAATATTGGTATTGCTTATTGGTATTTTTGTTGCCAATATTATCGGTGTTGTATTATAACAAATTTATACAATATATTTTAAAGTACATTTTGGATTGACCCAAATGTATCAATATAAATTCAATATATAGCCACATTCAAAGATGTTATCAATGTATAGAATAGTGTATGATAAGTGTGACAATGACTCATTCTCACTCATAGTTATGATGACGTTTCTACAGTAAGTCCAATTGTCACTTGTGAATTTCAAAGTAAAATGGAATGTCAAATCTTCATTCAAATGAATTTCCTGCAGCTGTTTAACATTTCCTGCGAGCAGTGCTCGCGTGCTCGCCTATTTTTTCCACCCCTGATCATATTTAATCGTACAATTTCGTGCACCTAGATTGGTAAAGACTCGCTACCAGCCTACCAATCCCCGTTGACGTGATAGCCCATTGAGTGGAGCGGGGTCTAAAAACCCAAATATGCGAGTGCGAATCACACAGGCATTTGTACGGTAAGTTGTGCTTAAACTCGTCCAGTTTCATGCACACAAGCGCTGCAGTGTTCTAAAGCTTGTTCAACTACATTTTCATTACCAGAAATCTCCATTGCTGTCACATCTTCATCTTGAATTTCAATAACCTTGTTTTCATTCCTGGGACCAGAATAATCAACAGACGCTGCTATCTCTCCTGTTTCACTGCTACTGTAAGATATACATTATATTGGTGGATTTCAGACTTTCGGTGCGCATTATGAGGAAACACAGGATGATGGACAAGTATAGATGTTCGGACACTTATGGGTCAGTTTCATTGGGCAGGGTTCCCACCCTTTACTCTTTAGCGAGGATGAAAATCAAAGAACCTTTCAAGGACGTTTCTCCAGTAAATTCAAACTGGAAAAACCTTTGAAAATAGCAAGGATTTTGCTTTTAAAACACTACAATTTATTCACAATAATAGGGATTGTTTAAAAGGGAGAAATTGCTGAATGTAAAATTAAGGATGTTAATTTATACAGCTAATTAAAAAAAGTCTGTCCTTTGACTAAAACCCTTAAACTCTAAGCGTGCAAAGCATAATGGAAGCATAATTTAACCAGTTTAGAAATCATATATGGGGCCCATTTCTTAGAGACATGGTAAATATCTCACTCTGGAGACATGAACAAATAATTCACAATATTCAACTACTAAGCTTATTCAACTACTCCCATTAAGCTTTGCACGCTTAGTGTTTAAAGGTGATCTACAGTCCGTATGTAAACAAAGCCTTTGTTTACATTTTTGTGTCCAAAATATTGAGCTTTATTCGACAACTATTTATATTTTCAAGCTTCTAGAGTATAATAAATGATCAAGAAACAACAATCAGGCTTTTCAAGAACTCAAAACATAGTTAAACTGTTTGTATCATAAAAAGTGGGCTCATTTGTGCACATGCGCAGATCGGACTGTAGATCACCTTTAAGGTTTAGAGTTTTTCAAAGAACAACCTTTTTGAATTGGCTGTATGTGGAGAATGATTGGCTGTTGATCAAGCCAGCATGTTGGTTAATCAGTTTGCGAGTCAACCTGTCAGTCATTGTGACTTTGTCAGTTAGTCATTCATTGGTTGTTTAGTAGGTCAAGATCAACAGGTTAATCTATATCTGTCAGTCAGACTCATTCACTGAGAGTGTAAGTCTTAGTCCAGGTATGACATACCTTGCATGCGAACTTGTGGTTGGTCGAGGTTTAACAAAAGCATGCAGCGTTTGTTCTCGGCTGTCAGTCCGCACAAGCTGATGGTCGTACACTCTCTGACCTGTCTTGCTTGAACTATTATCTATAACACATCATTGTATGTATCATATGCATGAACATGTTATCCAGTGTTGAAGTTACTAAATTCAAATAAATTGTCCATGGTTGTGAAAGTTAGGTCAGAGGTGTCAAGGGGAATGTACAATGTTGCAAAACTGTTACAGCTATAATAACACAAAATCATGCATTATATGTCCACCCACCAAAAAGTGAGGTGGATCTGGGCTCATTTGTTAGGCAAGGTGTAATGCTTCTCTCAGTGAAAGCATGCTCACTAGGATATTGGGAGACCGATGGGTAGCATTGATATGGTGGGTAGTCCTGTATTTGAACAAGAAATGGGTCCCACAACCTTAAGATTCCCCCACAACCCTATAAAGTGGGCTCTTAAAGTTTTCCCCATTTGCACCTACCAGAGAGGCATGGTGCTCACCCTGGAGCAATTGCCAAAAATCCATTTATAGACAAGCTACAAACCTGGTATTATATCACCAGTTTCAAGGATGGCATTTGGTAACAACTTCTGTGTGTAATAAGTCCGAGATGAATTACAACCTAGGAGTTTCTCTTCAAGTTGTTTCTGAATAATCTCAATGATTGAGTCTTCGTGGAGGAAATGAACTTCGTGTTTGGTTGGGTGGACATTCACGTCAACATTCAGGGGATTAATTTCAAGACTTAGGTACACAAAAGGGTGTGTCCCTTTTGGGAGGTAGGCAGAATACACAGCATCTATTGCCTTTCGAATTGCACTAGAATCTACCAACCGATGGTTGATGAAAAGCACGAATGTAAGTCGTTTCATGGAGTAGTTAGCGTTTGTAATATAGCCATTCATTTTAAAACCATATTGCTGATTATCGCAGGAAATCTCAAGGATTTCCTTAACAATACTCGCACTATAAATTGTCGATATATTATCAACAATGCTAGATGTATTTAAAGTTCTCACATCTCCGAGGTTCTGACCATGTTTTTTTACTGTGAATGCAACCCCAGAGTTGTGAATTGCATATTTGCCAACGACATCAACAATTTTGGCATACTCCTCGCCCGGACTTTTCAAGGCTTTCTTTCGTGTCATGATGTTATAAAATAGATCTTCGACCGTAATCTGAGTGCCTCTATTTCCCGCACAGGGCTTTGGCTCGCCTTTCGGCTTACCATCCGAATACTGTGCTTTAAAAGCACAATTTGATTCTGCCGTTTTGGTGATAATGGTCACATGCGCTACATGACTAATACTAGCTAAGGCCTCGCCACGAAAACCGTACGTGGCGATCTTATTCAAATCTTCGAATTTGCTATTTTTACTAGTAGTAAAGCGCTCGCAGACAATGCCCATATCTTCTTTACGGATTCCGCAACCATTGTCTTGAATTTGTAGAAATTTTAACCCGCCTGATTTGGCGGTGATTTGAATGGCGGTCGATTTTGCATCCAGCGAATTCTCTATCATTTCTTTGACAGCGTTTACTGGTCGTTGTATTACTTCGCCGGCTGCAATACGATTCACTACGGTCTCGTCAAGTTTACGGATTGTTGGCGTCGCGCATGAAGAAGCCGCCATCTTGGATTGCTTTCCCGCGGAAAATAAGTTTACGGAAATTGGCGAGGTTTTCCGAAAAATAATACGGGGGGAGGTCGAACGACTTCTTCAAATTCAAGATGGCGGATTTCATGAGTGCGAGATTTGTTGTTTATTATATAAAGTTGTGATATATTTCTGATTTGTGTCAATATGGATATGACCTCGAATGTCGTTGCAGGCGAAATCGGTGAATTGGGAAGTATTTTAATGGATGGAGGTGATCGTTTTGGTGTGTCTACCGTGCTGTTTGACTCCCACGAAGAACTGATATGGGTTGGGAATGAGGGAGTGAGTTAATAATATTTCAAAGATATTAAATTTCACGTTTGTAAAATGAGAGATTTGTAGTTCGAATTAGATCGCACATGTCATGATACATGTTTTAATGTCTTCTATATATTTATACTATTACACTCATTTTCCAAACATTCCAGGCAGATTTTAATATAAACAAGGGACCATTGACAAAATTGATTTTTCTGCCCACATGTTCTGTGATGTACCAACTCCTTTATGGTCATAGTTTGCTTTATGTGGGGGTCTATTATAGTTAGGTAGATTTTGAGACGGCGGTTTTTGGATGTATCTCAATTTTCGTGGCGGTTTATGGTGAAAAAATAATCACTTGGTAATGGAAAATCGTTGAGCATAGACTATATTACATAACTCATAACTTCCTTTTGAAGATTAACTGCCAGTTCACAAAGATAAAATCTGATAAAGCATATAGTAAATTTGCCATTGAGTCAAGCTATCTGCCATAAAAAAATGGTCTAAACCTGGGAAGTATGCGGAACTGGAGTTCGTAAATTAAAGATCAGTTCTTATGCAAAATACAAAATGGCTTACTATGCAGTGTTGAAATTGTCAAGTTCTTATTGTTATTATTTGAAAGTATCAGTAATCTTGGGTCTGCATAAAGTGAGAGCCATGCGAGGCACCCAAAACTTGCGAATCACACATCAATTAATACAGCAGCGAGCCATGCATATTTCGCAGAAACGTTTCTATTACTGATCAAATATATTTGTACCAGTATGTTATGTTGTATATAATTTTAAAGCTTATATGCTAAAAACATTGTTTTCTGTCTTATTTATAAGGTACGGAATAAATGTTGAAGATAGCAATATCTTCACATAATGCAATATCAAAATCAACAATGCTTGGTCTTATTTAACATTTTTATGAATACTGCAAGCACACTACAACAACTAAATTCAACGAAATTGACTCTAAGTTTAGCTTTATAGCTTTATTTATTTTAGACGTATGTTCTCACAGAGGTCTATGTGAGAAGGTTTTATGCCCGGAAAAACATTTTGCAATCCCCCCCCAACCCCTGCTCGGCAACAATTTGGTACCGGAAAAGTGTTAATAGCGACAGAACTGTTGTCGGCAAATCTGATACTACACCCCCCTTCTTTAAACTCTTTGCTACGGCCCTGTATATAGTGGTCCATTGACATTGTAACTATATACCGGACGAAACTTAAGCTGGACTCAATTTATTTTTATTAGAGGATACTATAGTTTGTTTAGTTTAGATTGTGTATTTGTCCTTACTCCTTAACATTGTTATTCTTGCAAAATATATCATTTTGTTTTGGAATTCCATCTGCATTACCCATTGATTAACCTGTTCTTCGTAATTTTATAAAACAATTACCAAATGGTTTTCCCGTGCAGGATAGCATGATCCATGCACTTGGGATGTTGCGAGACTTTTGGAAAGCGTGAAAATACACTAGCCTGTTGCGAGACTTTCGGAAAGCGTTAAAACACACTAGCCTACGGCTCGTGTATTTTCACGCTTTCCAAAAGTCTCGCAACATCCCGCGTGCGTGGATCACGCAATCCTGCACGGAAAACCATTCCGTATTCCTTTAAAACTAGCTACATTACTTCATTTAATATATACCAGATATATACTCAGATTACTCAGTGTATAAGTTTCAATTTCGCCGCGAAAGGTTTGTATGATTGCATGCCGGAAATATATTTGTGGAAACATCACGTTTTTTTTGTATTACTAGGCTACTAGCTTTCGGTATTTATAAGCCTGCATGGATCTTCAGCAATGTATTAAATTATCATAGCACCAACGCGGACTTGGGTCGAAAGCTTCGTTAAAGTCAAGACAAAAAAATGAACGTGTCCACAAAACAAAACAAAACAAAACAAAACAAAACAAAACAAAACAAAACAAAACAAAACAAAACAAAACAAAACAAAACAAAACAAAACAATTACATTTATTTTTACCATGCATTTAAACCTACAAGGTCAAAGATTTTATTGTGCTTTAATGACAATGTTATCGAGATAATGAAATATCTTTAAAAAGCACAATTACGTTAATTATTGGGGGAAAACACCCACAAAATGCTTGTCTATCACTCACAAAATCTTTCTATATCTCCAAATTACGGCAAATAAAAATATTTCGAAACTCTTTAAATCTTTATTTAGCGTTGGTGTATAATTGGCTCAACGTAATTGCCTCAATGTTTATAGCGTAATTGCCTGTATACAAAGTATTGTTTTGTTTACTGCAATGGCAACGAGATTATTTTTAGGTTGAAGGAATATGTAAAACTATAAAATAAATTCACTGGACAACTTTTCTAGCTTATCTTTTTTCGTTCTCGAGATATGTAAATTAAATAAATCCAGGGTTCTCCTTATCAGGCGGTAACCGGTAAAATTTACCGTTTCCACGAGCACTGATTACCGCCTGGAGAAGCCCAAGTTAAATATACGTTTGTGTACATTTGTTAAGAAATAATTAGTAATAAGGTGTGAGAAAGTCCTTTATATAATAACTACAGTGAAACACGCAATTTTATTGGTCAATAGTCGTGCAGGATCAAGCTATCCTGCACGAGGAATTATAATGCCTTCGCGGGATTTTCAAAATGTCATAGTTTCACTGCAGTTATTTTATAAAACAATTACCAAATGGTTTTCCAAGCAGGATAGCGTGATCCATGCACTTGGGATGTTGCTCGACTTTTGGAAAAGTGTCAAAATACACTCGCCTGCAGCTCGAGTTTTTTTACGCTTTCCGAAAGTCTCGCGACATCCCTCGTGCATGGATCACGCAATCCTGCACGGAAAACCATTCGGTATTCCTTTAATAATCAATCAATCAATCAAGTATTGCTGAAATTCCACAATATTAATTATTAAGCATCGATAGATTGAATACAGAAATATCCTATAAACCCGATCTGTGAACAAAATTTTTTGGCGGAATGATTATATTATCAACCCAGCGTGGGCCTGAGGACTGAGTAATTAAATTGGCGTGTGTTTAGAATATAATCTTTAGTATTCTATAAAAGTTTAAATCTTCCCTCAAAATGCAGGAAATGCCATTTCAGATTTCAAAATTTTCCGTTGGTATACCCCAGACCCCCTAGAGGTTTGTATAGGTGCGACTTGATGCTTATACCTGTTGAAAAACCTGTTTTACTTGTCCCACTCACAACTATGGAGAACCCTGTAAATCTATGCCATTATGCCATCATGCAAGCGAGTAAAATATTGGTATCAAAGGTATATAGTATAGTCTCGTCAAAGGTTTAAAATGATGAAATATTTCAAACCATATACAGCTAATTCAAAAAAGGTTTTCTTTTGAAAAACCTTAAACTCAAAACCTTAAACCTTAAACTCTAAGCGTGAAAAGCATAACGGGAACATATAATAGTTTTGTTTGTGGAACTATAAGTCATATTATTAGCTCTGAAGCTTTGCAGTAATAAATTAACGTGGTGTTTGCACAAACAAAACTATTATAATTATGTTTTATCGCCATGCAAACGTATACAGAGAACTTATAACGGGAAGAGTTATGCTTAATCAGTTTAGAAAGCAGTATATGGGGCCCGCCGTTTCTTAGTCTTAGAAACACGGTAAATATTTAGGGAGAAGAGTTTACAACTGGCATTATACAGGCTAAAGTTTCCTTTGGCTTTAGTTTCTGTACTTACGTTGTAAAAGGTTTAAGTATTTTTTTATAATAAACGGCTAAAGTATTTTGTTTTAATTTTCTTTGTTCAGAGAAAGGGCGTCAAAACCTTTCAATTCCCACAGAAAGAATGTCTGTATACTCCCCCACAAGCTTGCAATAATAATAGTTATAGTTATAGCTATATGTATGTGCAGTATTGAAATTCTTCAGAGAGATATTGTGTTCTATTTGAGTGTGTAACTTGTGAGGCACCCAATAGGATTCCAGAATATATATCATGCGGTTAAATGTTTCTTAACGAAAATCTGCTACCTTTGTCCTCGTCAACCGTTGCGAAGTTTCTGGCCGATAAACTTTTACTGTATAAGAAAAATGACGGTTACGGTTTTCACGAAGAAATACGAGCGATTAACGGTGAAACAGGCAAAAATAGGACGGTTTGCGGAGCGACCAACCCCCAGTCGGGGACATGCCAATGTATAGCCTGTAGTCAAGTAGTTAATTAAAGTATAAGTCCGCAGCCACATGCCAGTGTATAGTAATAACGAAATGCGATTTGAAGCATTTTGGGGGTGAAATATTATTATAAACTTCAAAAGATACACAGTCTGTGGAAGCATACAAGAAGTGCATTGACAGCAAAAATTATTAGTATCATATAGCTGGTGTGTTAGTGTTTTCGTTTCTAAAGAATAGCGGCAAAGTATAACCTTATTAATAATATTTACAGTACTATTTTTTACACAAAAAATGCAAAGTTAGTCATATAGTGACAAACACAAAAATCACTGATGAATGTGAATTGTGAATTAATGGCATCTTTTATAGCAACATACAAGAGAACAATTTTTGAACTGTCGATCAATATACTGGGAAAGCTCAATATCATTATCCTGATGTTTACTTCGTGAAGCAGAACGTTGATTGCAAGGGCCTTTAAGAAGTATGTCAGACATAGCTTTAGCAAAATGCTGGCAGTTATTTTTAAAGAGTTTGTACTTGGCATCCTTCCACATTTCAACGATCATGTTCGCATCTTTCCAATTGCAGTAACTACGGCCAATCTGTTCAATTCCATCATCGTTTAAATGTTTTCCATCTTTATATTTATATTGCGGATCAGCAATATCGAGCACTTGGACACCATATGATTTTCCAAACTCATAGGTAAATCCACGAAATGTAACAAATTGATGTTCCCATTTTAGTTTGATACTCCTTTTTTTTCTAGATGATGAACCGAATAGCTTTGCATGGCCGAGTAGCACACAATATTCTTCAGGATTAGACGTTTCTGAACAATTTTCTTCTTTCATTGTATTCGGGTTGATGCATATATTGTTCCCAATGCAGCGTTGGCTTCGCGGTTTACATCTTTTATCGTGCGGGCAGTAGAAGTTAATGTTGTCTGTACCACATGTTTGTGGAGCAACTCCTTCTCCACCCGAGCCCGACGAATCACGCTTCATAACTGCATGACACTTAGTGTCCAAAATTCGCATCCAAATGAGAAGAAGACATATTATCCATGCAGTATTATCCATATTTCGCTTGTCTTGTCTTTTGACTAACTTTAAGCTCTGACTCTCAATTATATAAGAACGTTAATAATCCAAGCGCTTTCATTGGTCGAGAGCCATTATCTATTAGCGGAACTCACGGAATTACGTCACACAAAACTCTTTGTTCTGTGCAGCCAATCACAACACATATACAGCACGTAACTTGAGGTATTAGCCAATAGCATCCCCCCCCCCCCATTTGTATAGATCATGTAAGGCCATATAAAATAAATTCCTTGATTATCATCACCGCCCGACGATAGTTTGGTTTCCGCGTTGATATATTTTTGTATTTTGTTATAAAATATAAATTTACCGCCCGACCGAGCATCTTCAGAGATTTAGTTATTTTTATATTTTATATTGGAATTTTTGCGATATAAAATTGTTTTATCGTTAATATTGCAAAATGTTAAGGGATGCTTGGAATACTGAAGGAAAAATGGGCTTATAGCCTTATTACAACTATTTGTGTGGACCCTTATGCATGTTCATTAGCGCATGTTCAATTATCCACTTATATAGCGTTCTTCTATAATATATTTAAGGGCAAATATAAAAAGACCTCCCTCTCCAATTTTTTAAATTTTAAACTTTTTTATATTTGGCATAAAATATAACATATAAACCTCCCGCCTCCTGGGAGTTTTTAAAATTTAGCGATGAGAATCAAGGAATTTATTTTATATGGCCTAAGCGTGATATTTTCTGGGGGGAGGCTTTTATTTGTAAATCGTGAAGAGAAAAAAGGAGGATAAGGACAAAAACGCTGTAGGAACTGTTATTGGAATCGATTTGGGAACGCCGCTTATTTATGTGTCGATGTTTTCAAAAAATGGGCGAATAGAAAGCATTGCCAATGACCAAGGTAACCGAATAATACCATCGTACGTTGCTTTCACACCGGAGGGAAAACCTTTGATTGGTGATGGTGCGAATTTAGAACCAGCCGCCTCAAATCCATAAAATTCCGTGTTCCATGTCACCTCCTTAAAGTTGTTAACAACAAGTGCATCCATCTGAGTGCATCCATCAAACTCGCCTGAGAAGAAAGGAACTAAAGGATCAGGGCCAAGCAGGACTCTCATGTCGCCTCTGTGGCAGACCATGTGCCACCACCGCTGGCCTCGCCACGGTGAAAAAATAATCACTTGGTATTGGAAAATCGTTGAGCATAGACTATATTACATAACTCAACCTCCTTTTGAAGATTGACTGCCAGTTCACAAAGATAAAATCTAGTAAAGCATATAGTAAATTTGCCATTGAGTCAAGCTATCTGCCAAAAAAAAATTGTCTAAACCTGGGAAGTACGCGGAACTGGAGTTCGTAAATTATAGATCAGTTCTTATGCAAAATACAAAATGGCTTACTATGCAGTGTTGAAATTGTCAAGTTCTTATCGTTATTATTTGAAAGTATCAATAATCTTGGGTCTGCATAAAGTGAGAGCCATGCGAGGCACCAAATTGTTTACCAAGAACAAGGGAGAATTGGGGAGATTGCAAAATGTTTTTCCAGGCATAAAATTTTTTATATATAGACCTCTGTGAGAACATGCATGCGTCTACAAAAAATAAAGCTATAAAGCTAAGCTTAGATTCAATTTCGTTGAATTTAGTAGTTGCAGTGTGCTTGCTGTATTCATAAAAATGTTTAATAAGACAAAGCATTGTCGATTTTGATACTGTATTATGTGAAGATATGGCTATCCTCAACATCTATTCCGTACCTCGTAAATAAGACAGAAAACAATGTTTTCAGCATATAAGCTTTAAAATTATATACAATATAACATACTGGTGCAAATATAGTTGATCAGTAATAGAAACGTTTCTGCGAAATATGCATGGCTTGCTGCTGTATTAATTGATGTGTGATTCGCAAGTTTTGGGTACCGGAAAAAGTGTTAATTAGCGATAGAACTGTTGTTGGCAAATCTGATACCACCCCCCCCCCCCCCCTTCTTTAAACTCTTCGCTACGGCCCTGTATATAGTGGTCCATTGACATTGTAACTATATACCGGACGAAACTTAAGCTGGACTGAATGTATTTTTATTAGAGGATACTATAGTTTGTTTAGATTAGATCGTGCATTTGTCCTTATCCTTAACACTGTTATTCTTGCAAAATATACTTAATTAATTCTTCGTTAATGTCAACATTCGTCATATCATTTTGTTTTGGAATTCCATCTGCATTACCCATTGATTAACCTGTTCTTCGTCGAGGTCCAGTGTAAGAAGACACTAAACTAGCTACTTTACTAATCATTTAATATATACCAGATATATATACTCAGTTTACTCAGTGTATAAGTTTCAATTTCGCCGCGAAAGGTTTGTATGATTGCATTCCGGAAATATATTTGTTTGGTAGGCCTATTTCTGGAAACATCACGTTTTTTTGTATTACTAGCTTTCGGTATTTATAAGCCTGCATGCATGGATCTTCACCAATGTATTAAATTATTATAGCACCAACGCGGACTTGGGTCAAAAGCTTTGCCAAAGCCAAGACAAAAAAATGAACGTGTCCACAAAACAAAACAATTATATTTATTTTTACCATGCATTTAAACCTACAAGGTCAAGGATTTTATTGTGCTTTATGACAATGTTATCGAGATAACGAAATATCTTTAAAAAGCACAATACATTAATTATTGAAAGAAAACACCCACAAAATGCTTGAAAACGTGATTATCTTTCTATCTCCAAATTACCGCAAATAAAAATATTTCGAAACTCTTTAAATCTTTATTTAGCTTTGGTGTATAATTGGCTCAACGTAATTGCGTCAATGTTATCGTAATTGCCTGTATACAAAGTATTATCTTCTGTGATATTTGTCCATATAGCAATGGTCGTGAAAACAGGCGAGTTTACTGCAATGCCAACGAAATTATTTTCAGGCTGAAGGAATATGTAAAACTGTAAAATAAGTTCACTGGACAACTTTTCCAGCTTATCTTTTTTCGTTCTCGAGATATGTAAATTAAATAAATCTATGGCATTATGCAAGGGAGTAAAATATTGGTTTGAAATGATGAAATATTTCAAACCATATATACAGCTAATTCAAAAAAGGTTTTCTTTTGAAAAACCTTAAACTCAAAACCTTAAACCTTAAAGTCTAAGCGTGCAAAGCATAACGGGAACATATAATAGTTTTGTTTGTGGAAACACCACGTAAATTTATTACTGCAAAGCTTTCGATCCGTAAGCCCATAACTATAAGTCATATTATTAGCACTGAAGCTTTGTTTCCACAAACTATTATAATTATTTTTATCGCCATGCAAACGTGTACAAAGAACTTATAACGGGAACAGTTATGCTTAATCAGTTTAGAAAGCAGTATATGGGGCCCGCCGTTTCTTAGTCTTAGAAACACGGTAAATATTTAGGGAGAAGAGTTTACAACTGACAATATACAGGCTAAAGTTTCCTTAGCTTCTGTACTTACGTTGTAAAAGGTTTAAGTATTTTTTTATAATAAACGGCTAAAGTATTTTGTTTTTAATTTTCTTTGTTCAGAGAAAGGGTGGCAAAACCTTTCAATTCCCACAGAAAGAATGACTGTACTCCCCCACAAGCTTGCAATAATAATAGTTATAGTTATAGCTATATGTATGTGCAGTATTGAAATTCGTCAGAGAGTGTGTAACTTGTGAGGCACCCAATAAGATTCCAGAATATATATCATGCGGTTAAATGTTTCTTAACGAAAATCTGCTACCTTTGTCCTCTCGTCAACCGTTGCAAAGTTTCTGGCCGATAAACTTTTACTGTATGAGAAAAATGACGGTTATACGGTTTTCACGAAGAAATACGGGCGATTAACGGTGAAAGAGGCAAAAATAGGACGGTTTGCGGAGCGACCAACCCCCTATAATAGACCCCCTTATGTTTGCTTCATAGATTACTGAATGAACTACAATGTAGAGACGGTTAGCTGCGCAAATTTCTCTCATGTGCGGCAGGCTTTAAAAAGTCTATTAAATTAAGTATTTCATGGTGCATTTTAAGTGCAATATGACGGAGATCTTCGCATCCACACTAGAAAGTACGCCACTTTAGTGGGAGATCTTCTGCAGCAGGCTAGCTATTTTGTAATACTAATTATTAATAAACTTGGGTTATTGCGGCAGTTCTCCTGCGGCAGCTTGTTGGTGCTTTCCACCCAGGTTCGGCATGAGTTTGGGCTGTTTGGCAAATTACAATACTATCTTTAGTTAATATTGGCATGGAATGCACCCTGGATGAAATACCAGTATCACGAGTGCAATTTTGAAACATTCTAATGAGACAAGTTCTCATGCAATAGAACACTCAGAGCCAGAGGAAACCTCACACTGGAAAGTATTTATCGTGCACACAGTTCTGTAATGTATATTAAATCTTTAAATTATCAGACTAGAGTGTCAAGTGTATGTAAGTATGTTTTTCCATGAGGACTGCCGAATAGAATACCATGTTTTTGCTAGGGTCATATCACATCATACTTTGGGTCAGAAATGCAGAAGTACACGTCATTTCAAGCTCATGAAAACGAAGTCCGTCATTTACTGACAAACGATGGTGGCGTGTTGTCTCTAACACACAATGAAATACGATTCACAAAAAGACAAGGACTGAAATTATTTAGCCTTAGGTAGGTTTAATCAGTTCTCAAACCTGACTTGATTTTTACATTTTGTAAAATTATGTATCCAACCATAGGTGTACACTGGAAGGAAGGAAGGGAGGAAGGGAGGGAGGGAGGGAGGAAGGAAGGAAGGAAGGCCCTGAGAAATGGTAAAGAACACTTTCCTTAATTTAGTGGCTCAAACATGACAGACATGCAATGTATGCTTCAGAAGGATGACTCAACATTACTTATTGCTGGCCATCAAGATGAAATATTTGAGTTGGATCTAAATCGTCATAAGATTTTACAAGAAGTATGTTAATATTGCTCTTGTGATATTTGACAACATGATTTGTCATTTGTGTGAGGATCACATATACATTAACTTTAAAAATATAACAACAATTAAAATTTAATAGTTTGAGTTTATTTTAACTATGGTATGTACAGTACTGTACATCATAATACTGCATAGCAGGATGATGTACAGATGATATACAGTACATACCATATTATTATCTAAATGTTCTTTTAAACACCCCCCACCCCCGCAAAAAAAAAGAAAGAAGCCCAACCTCTCAATAAGCCTGCCCTCTAAATAGCCTGCCTCTCCAATAAGGGCCAATTAGAATTTTATTAAGTTTCCCTCTCTTAATTCCCTTTTCTTCCCTTTTCTTCCCAACAAAGAAAATAAAATGATACAATATTGATTAACCCATTAAGTTGCAATGCATCCTAATGCTTCTGACTTTATTATAATTTACTCTGTCAAGGGGAGAGCATTGTGCATCAATGGGTAATTGACACTTCCCGAATTTGCTTACAAAACAATAGCTTGAAATTGTAATCCATTGTAAATTAGTACTGTAGTGTTCATTGGCAGCCAACAAGTTTGGAAAGTGTCTGTTGGTCGCAAGTTCCATGTTTATTGTTTTTGCTCAATGTTAGTATACAGTTGAACCTGGAACGTGTATCATGAAAGTTTCATCGCGATATCTTTGTTGTGGCGATAGCTCTGGCAAGGTAAATATTCTTCATGCAAAATATTTCTTTGTTTCCTGGTGAATTTCACCACCGTCTCATTCCGTCTTTGGCTAAAACGCTTTTCTTTTCAAGATACGTTTAAGAGACCCGAAAACTTTGAAATGTGAACACGTTCTCTCGGCGCATTCTGGAACGTTGTCCGATTTTGACGTCTTGGGAAATACGTTGGTAACCTGTGGCTTTTCTAGCAGGTAGATTTGTGCTTGATTTCCTCTGGATCAGAAAGCTATTGGTGATTCTTTTCTGGCGCCAGCAACGCAAATTCACATGCCTGATTAAATTGTTGGCAAGAGAAAAGCGCAACACGCGTGTAATGTTGTATTGGCTGCGTCTTGACACTAAAGACCGCTTTACACTACATGCAACTTTTTCCTACAGCTGTCGCATGCAACCTGCTTACAACTCAAAGTTGTACCGTGTAGCTAAATCAAGCAGACAACATGCCTATAGCCCCCTCTGTGTCAGCAACTGATCTGGTTGTTTGAAGTAACCCCAGAGCAATTATATATTATCCACGGTTTTTAGACAAGGTCATTTGTCTGCTGATCGCTTTCTTATGATGTACGATATGAGAATGTTGAGAAGTTTAGCGCCATTACAGGTACGCTATTCGATATTGCTGTAAAGTTCATTCTCTAAAACATTTTTGCCTCCAACTTAATTAAAATCAGTTTGAATAAAAGGTTTTCAGGTTTTTATTGCTGAAAAACATCGTCACAACTTAGTTGTTCAGCATATCCGCGCTTTTGTTCAAAGATAGTTATAAATTATTGAGGATGATACTCTTGTACGCTCCCCCTTCCCTATAGTGTCCACATTTTATCCCCTTTTCTATTTAACAATTTTATTGAGAATTCTACAATTACATATTGTACCCCGGATACTGTACTGTCAAAAACAAGCACAAGACAGACAATATACTTACAGTACGAATAGTAGGAGACCCAAACGGACAAAATAAAGTACAAACATATCAATCGCGCCTTTACCATTTTCATTCTTACAGACTCCAATGCTGGAACCATTCATGTTGAAATTTTCTAGCACGATGTCGTCCAGAGTTCAGGTCGTCTCACATGTAAGTCACTGTTCGATAGATATAATTCCAGAACATTTTTATGCCAAGAAATATTTTCCCGATTCAGTTTGAAAATCCGTACAGGACATAAAATTTCTGAAAAAAATGTATACAGACTGAAGATGACAGAAAAAATTATATCACAATACGAAAACAGAACACTGGAAAAAATTTTGAAAATCCGTAGAAGGCCATAGAATAAAAATTGTATGGACCCTTTATTGGAAATAGAATGGATTTTGATAATCCATAATAATTGTATATTTCTATACTATGGATATAGTACCGAAATATAGTGTGGATATACTATGGATTTAGTGGTGCAATTGCAAATCTGATAGTATGGATTTCACTTTTTCTCCCAGTGAAACATGCACACCAACAGCATAAAAATGGCAGTTTTCTAATGGTCCATCCTTGACGCAAATTATTCAAGAAATTGCTACAGGGATGCGACTACCTGAAAAATGAGCAAACTTCACCATTTTGAGCGAAGCTCGTTTGTCTGGTAGTTATTGCTTATTACCTAACTAACCAACTGCGCTCGGTATAGTTTGCTCTATAAGTTTCAGATAGTTAAACGAACATCTAGGATATTCTTCATCGCTGCCTACACTGGAACCCCACATTTAATGAATTGTTATTATTGTATGTTCTAGAGTGGTCAACTGCAGTTTCTAGACATTGGTGGTCACATGACCGCAAGGTCAATGTATATTTATCACGTGAACACGCATGGAGGAATGGTGGCGGGTTTTGATATTTCACCTAACGGTCAGGCTTCAGTATTTGGTGATTCCGCAGGTACCTTTTGTTCTGCGCAAATCTCTAAGCTTCAGTATTAGGTGAATTTATGATTCAATCTACTGTATACAAACGGACATTTCTCTATTACGGGCGCGTCTTTAAATACGGACACCTCTCTAATATAGTACGAACACATCTCTAATATGTGCACCTCTCTAATACGGAAACCTCTGTAATATAGTAAGAACACCTCTATCCGGACATCTCTTTAATACTATCTAGTACAGACACCTTTCTTATGATCACCTCTCTAATATAGCACGAACACCTCTCTAATATAGCACGAACACCTCTCTAATATAGTACGAACACCTCTCTAATATAGTACATGTACGAACACATCTCTAATACGGACATCTCCCCAATATAGTACGAACATCTCTCTAATATAGTACGAACACCTCTCTAGTTACGGAAATCTCTCAAATATAGTACGAACACTTTCTCTAATACAGACACATCTCTAATACAAACATCTCTCTAATACGGACACCTCAAAGAAAATCTGAATCTGGCACTCAGCGTTACGTTTAATACGTTAGATATACGTCTTAAAACATGAAAATTACCAGCGGCAGAATTGCCGAAGACTACGAGCTCAAATCTGTTGTTTTTGACGTATTTTTGAATCGTTCAGGTGTTGTTCACCTTTGGGTCGATCATGGAATGGAACATTTGGCTTTTAACATTTATTCAAGACCAACAAATTTTGCTGACGAGGTATATCACTTTGTTTAGTCTTTTGAAGGCACTGACTTGGTTCCCCGGTTCAGCCCACTAAACGGAACACCAAAACCTCAACCTCTATGCGTGAAAAACACAATGACGGTTTGTCTTCTTTTTTTAATGATCTATTTGTTCGTATATACTGCATGTAACATTTTGTGAACAGATACATATACACATACACTCTGCTTTTCTGAGGTCACAGCTCGTGTTTTTGCTGTTGTCCAGAGGACAACCTTGATTGAATTACTGTAGTTTGTATTTACCAAGTATATACAGTGCATGGGGTGGAACACCTCAATACTATGCTTTCCTGGATTTATTTTCATTTTTCCAGATCCATCATTCACATCCATTAGCAATCGACGACGACAGTGTTCCTTATTCTTCATTTCCGCTGCCACATTGCAGGTAAACCTTTATATATATACAAATTTTTCGCAGCTGTTCATGGTTCTTGCTCATGCTCTTGGTCCTTGCTCATGGTTCTCGGTCATGGTCACGCTCCTTCCACAAAATTCTTCCACATTAGTTCAATCGAGTATAAGATGCCTAAAAAATCCTGATATTTACCCATATAATTCATTAAAATTTACACACGAAATTTCTTTCTACAAAATACTTCAACATGATATACTCACGAGCTTGATTGAAACGTCTAACTACCTTAAAAAATGAAGAGTACTTCGATGTTTCGTGCAAAGGCCATCCACACATCTCATCATATATCCCTACTACTTTCGATATAGCCATAATTTTATTAACTACATTAAATTTCCAGTGAACCATTGCTTTCTGACTGGCCAAAGAAATTGTTAAAGCGAAGAGACAGGTGAGAAATATACTTTTACATTGTTCTTTTTAAATGCTCTTTTTCAATCACCTCATTTTGGCAAGTTAAGCTATGCTATGCTAAGCTACAGTATGCTATATTTTGCTATGCTACAGTATGCTAAACTAATTGTTCGACTGTATTTGACATATTTAACTCATTTTTATATCCTAGACGAACACCTCCAATTGACCCTGAGATATTACGGGCAATGGTCGTGAAAGGTTTTATCGGACAAGCTCCCAATCCAGGAAATAGACTTCGTAATCAGGTAGAGAAGACGAAAAACGCGTGGATAAAATTGCTGTTGTTGTTATTATTGTTGTTGTTGTTGTTGTTGTTGTTGTTGTTGTTGTTGTTGTTGTTGTTGTTGTTGTTGTTGTTGTTGTTGTTGTTGTTGTTGTTGTTGTTGTTGTTGTTGTTGCTGTCTGTTGTTGTTGTTGTTGTTGTTGTTGTTGTTGTTGTTGTTGTTGTTGTTGTTGTTGTTGTTGTTGTTGTTGTTGTTGTTGTTGTTGTTGTTGTTGTTGGACAGAAATAACATGAAGAAATGAAGTCTATACACAATGTATTTTACCAGGTTCCATACATATGGCGTTCCACATCCAAGCAAAAACGTGTTCCAGAGTCTCCAATGAACAGGGGTAAGCATTTGATAATGGCTCAGAAAAACGTGTATATGAATTCGTCAGAATATTTAATAATAAACTGCCTCATGACCTAATATTTTTAAAGTGTATTTTTAGCGGTCTTGAAGTATTTAATATATTAACAACATTGCCATATCTAGCCTATCATCATTAAAAGCTCTAAACATCTTGACTGTTCCTGTCTACAACGTTCATTATTGGTTACTTGCAAACTGTAGTTTATGCATGGGCTAATGTTTAGAAACGTTGAATTGTCAGCTGATTTGCTATGGTCTTGTATCGTTTCCTAGAGCAGAATCCATTTTCCTCTTTGGTACCAAAGATTTATCGCCGAGTAGAAATGAGATATTCCAAGTTAGGTATGTATAAAAATATTAATTTCTTATATAAGGTTTGTGTATACTTGTGTTTGCTATTTTTGCAAGACTTTTTCCGCTTCAAACATGCCTCTAATAAAACGCTACATATAAGCCAACGTGCTATATAGTATGCCAAAAACCGTCATACTCTATATATAGCTACAGTACGGTAATAAAGTATGACTTATCTCATTTTTATAACTCTTCTTGTTAGGTGTTGACGACTTCAATTTTCAACATTACAATAAGACTTCGTTCGCTGGATTGGAAATCCACATTCCTAACGCCTACTGTAACTGTATGCTACAGGTATTGGATATTGCTTACGGTATAAAGATGGTTCAATGCTTTGGAAATATCTATTACGTGAGAAACGTAGCGAGATTTGTGGGACATACAGTATAAGGCATCTCAAGGGTTCGTCCATTAAGTAGGAGGAGTGGAAAATGTATCAGACCTATTGGTCCCAGAAAATGTTTTGAGTTCCCAGAAAATATATCCAGTTGCAGAGAAAGAAAATGTGAAGCAAATTTTAATAAAAATTTACATTTTTTGGGTTCCCGGAAAATATTTTAAGTTCCAGTAGAAGAGAAAGAAATGTGAAGAATATTTTGTGAAAAGAAAAGTGAGAAATTTAAACAGGAAAGTAGAACATTTTTAGCCCATTAAGACGCAAGGCTCTGAAAATCTCCCCTTAACTAGTAAAATCGTCTGGCGTTAGACAGAGTAAAATAACAAAGTAGGGCGCACCAGGGAACATTGCCCGCCTTAATGGGTTAATATTTCTTATAAGGGGCTATGTGGAGTCAGAATTTTTGCAGTTTTTGCTTACACTTATTGTTGAAATGATGCCATTTCTACTGTACTCCCAGCTTCATTATTTATTAACCACTCGCATGTTGGATGACGTTTCCTCTAAAGCTCGATAGGTCTGCATGCACTATCAATTGTCCTTACCCTCGATCTTTTGTAGACCTTCTACTTTTTGGAACCGCTCAAAGTATCTCTCCAAAACCATTTGTGTAAAAAGGAGTTTTGTTTGGCTTGTGAATTGGGATTTCTCTTTGACATGTTGGACCAATCTTCTGGACAAACGTGTCAAGTAAGTTTCAAATTCTGTCTTTCAACTAAAGTGAAATCTCTAAACTGTGGGGTTTTCTTTCTCTCAGGCAAGCAACTTTCTTCGAGCGTTCCGAACATTGCGAGAGGCCTCGGCTCTAGGTTTGCTGTTACCAGACACGGACGAATCCCTGGGGCGAGTGAATTATCCCCGACTGATTCAGAGCTGGCAAAGATTTGTTCTGCAACAACTTCATCGGGTAGGAAGAGTTGAACTTATTTTCGCCATAAGTTAAGCCTGTTTTTTATAAAGGCCGTTTTCCACTGGGCGGAATTCTCCGCGCGGAGCGGAATTTTTCTTTGTCTTGTGATTTCTCGGGTAGAACTAATTAGAAAAGACAAAGAGAAATTCCGCTCCGCGCGGAAAATTCCGCCTAGTGGAAAACGGCCTTTAGGCAAATTTGTTCGCACGAAGCGAAAAGCAAATTTCGGCACTGTGATTGGTTGGCAAAAACGTTTGCCGCGAAAAGCAATCACATTGTCGAAATTGGCAAAACCGCAAAAATCAACTCGTAAGCATGCTGCGAGTACTTGCATCTGTATTTCCCTGAGGTGATCTGGTGTTCGATGGAACTCGTATATATAACTAATCGTCACCTCCTCACCCCTCATAACTAGTTGGCTATTGAACGGTTACAAAAATGATGTTCAATGTACATACCTGCAATGAACTACTGCTGTAGGTTCGAGTCCACAGTGATAACGGTAACAATTTAGATGGGATTGAATTGCAATGGGTGCTTACCCAACCTCGGCCCACCTTATATGGCAGTAAACAACTGTATGTTAATGTTTCAGGATACGGAAGTGAAACACGATGAAAGTGAAGAAGGGAATGAAACAGAAAGGCGAGACATTTTGCATTTTTTATCGATGAGTGAAAAACTACCGTTGTCTGTTTTGATGTATTTCAAGTCTGAACTTATTTTCTCGTTCGCGTCCTCCCACAAATAAACGCCAGCTGCACATGCTAGTCTGAACTTGCCAGTTGGTTAGAACGCTGCACCGGAATCGCAGGGTCGCAGGTTCTATTCCTGCCAGAGGGCCGCGATACTTGCATTTTTCGCAACTGCTCCTGTTTAGGTCTAATAAATGTATAAAAATTCCACAACAATCAATGTGAACTTGGTTGCATAATATTGCACACTTGTGCATATAGCATTCGAGATATTTGCAATAAGGTTGGCTAAATTCCTTTAAAAATAGTATTACCAAGTTGTATAAATATATAGTTACACTTCATTTGTAGGGTGACGGCTTTGATAAATTCGCTATTTGGATCGCAAGTTCAGAGGACAAGCCAATGTAGTCAATGTGGCGCGCAAACTACCCGAGATGATATCACTTTGTTAACAGCTTTGTCTTATCCAGATAATCCTGAGAACCGTACGTACTCTACTAAAACTAAACTTGACTAGACTTAACTGACTTTTATTGCATGACTAGTTATATCTGTTCTCCCTAGAGGTTCAGTAAGTCACCTCTGTTGGTCCAGTATTACTACGGGAGGAAATCTAAATTATTTTTATTTATACTAGGGCAAAAAAAATATGTGGGTTTCCGGTTTCCCGACCCTACCTAGCTTTTGGACGTCGAAATCCCGACCCTAAACTTTTTTATTGGATCATGCTTGTAAGTGTTTCCACTTAGAGGGAAAAGTTTGTGGAAAATTGAAATTTGAGGCAATATTCAATATTAGGGAAATTTATCTTTGGATGTGGAAGCACTGACTAAACAAAATGGCGTCCAGTTGTTAGGAAATTTAAAAAAAAAAGTTTAAAAAAAAGTTAAAACCGACCTACCCTACCTAGGTTTTTATAAGAAGAAACCGGAAACCCACATATTTTTTTTGGCCTAGATAGCTTTATCGTTTCTTAATTGTTTTCCCTGGAAGTCCAGTAAAGGCCAGCCCCTATTGGTCCACTTACTACAGGAGGAAACCTAAACTAAACTAAACTAGCTTTTGCAGTGGATAGCTCTATCATTACCATTCTTTACTTGCATTTTGAAAAAGAACGGTATGGTAATTTATAAAATAACATGTATATAACGCGTGTTCTGATTCGTCAAAAGCCGTGTTTGGATCAGGCCATCCAAACACGGAAGACTATCGTGTTGTTGTTATTTTATAAAACAATTACTTTATGGTTTCCGTGTTTGGATGGACTGATCCAAACACTTGGGAATGTTGCTCGAGTTAAGAAAAGCGGGCAAAATCACTCGCCTTCGGCTCGTGTTTCGCTCGCTTTTCTTAACTCTCGCAACATTCCCGCGTGTTTGGATCAGGCCATCCAAACACGGAAACCATAAAGTAATTGTACAATACATGTAGAAAAAACAACAAACAAATATCCATTTTCCCAGCAGAGGCTATCAGTTTTGTGAATGTTTTACAATCCAGTCTACTTGGTGTCCAGACGAGCCCAGCATGGTGTGAAAACTGCAATAAATTTCAACCCACGGTAAGTCGACCTTTTTGCTTTAATTGTATCTTCGTGTATAACAGTGTTATAGTTGGAGAAGTTAAGAGCCCATGGGATCTTTGTGGCCCACTGACCGGGAAATAAGACTGGATGGAATATCTATTGTGTTGAAAACAAATCAGTAAGTCCGTCATCACCAACTGGTAACCTTTCAGCCAACAAGATTGAATTTAATGTAATCCTCGGGAAAGTGGAAGAACGCAGTCTAGGCCTTTACTCGGTTGACTTTGGCAAGGTTTGGTCAATTTTTGGCCGGCATTTGGTAAATATGACGTCACATGCGAAATGAAAGCATGTGTGAGCAAGATATGCTGGCTCAAAGTTGATAAAACCTGCCACAACCAGCGAGTAAAGGGCTGGCCTTAGACTGGGAAGAACGCATAATAAAAGATCATACTTAGATTCTTGCACTTCACTTGATGGAATTAATATTAGGATGTTAGGGTTTGTAATCCAAGTGAGAATATATACATTTTAAGACCTAACCAGGAACGACTGCGAAAAATGCAGCACAAGGTCCTCTGGTAGGAATTGAACCTACGGCCCTGCGATTCCGGTGCAGCACTCTAACCAACTGAGCTACATATTCTCACTTGGATTACAAACCCTAATAAAAGATCATCAACTGTGCTGTACAGCGGAGAGATTCATTGCACGCTCTCAGTGAAATCGAAACTTATATTCAATATCACGTGATCATAATCGGCCAAATAAATTAGAATAATTTAATAACGTGTGATATAAAATGTTATGCCCAATTATGTTTTTCTAGATTCACAGTAAGAAACTAAGTAGATTACCAGATGTACTGTCAGTGAACTGTCAAATTGATGCGGAAAAACACAAGGAATTTTGGAATCGTAAAAAAGACAATGTATGTGCTGTATACTGTATATTATAATAACGGTGTATAGTAACCAAGCCTGGTTGTTATAGGCGCCATTTTCAAATGCAGCTGGCTTAACGACCACGCATAGATAGTTAGGGCCTACCTAGACATCATAGCACTAGTGGTAGGGTCCCCATAACCCCCTATCTCATGTAAACACTCGCTATTTTTTACCCTCTTGGTAGGGTCACCCTGGTGGTAGGGTTACCCTACCTCCATGTAAACAGGCCCTTGTGTAGAAATCCGACTGTCGTACAACCGACCCTAGTTGAAAATGAAAGATTTCGGAATTGGTGTCACTGATCACTACTGTGTAATAAAGTTACATGTAAGAAAGGACATAGACTCAACAAACTCGTATATTTTGTTGTTTTAGTCAACTGAAAAGAAGCCAAAAGATACGCCTGTTCAAAACACTCGATCAAACATTCCTTGTCGTTTTGGTGATGGTTGCACGCGTGTTGGCTGTACCTTCTGGCATACAAAAGATGGTGAACAGACACCTGCTGAACCAGAGTGAGTAATGATCTGACACAGTGTATACATCCATTGCAGTTGACCTTAAAATAAGCTCATGCCATACCTGTATATTTACTTTTTTGCATGTAACCAAAAATAATTTGCAGTTAGCCCCGCGAGCGAAGCGACCTGAGCAGGTTTGGGATCGCGTAGCTTGCGAGTTGCGACGGGGCATCGGGCTACCGGGGGAAACGTTTTGAGCAATTGGGCCCGAGAACGTCAATTTTGGCAATAGGAAATATGACTCAGAGCTTGACGGCTTGAGATTTGATAAATAAAATTCAGCCACAGAACAGGAAAGTTGTCAGACCACACGCAGTTTGAAACTAAAAAAGAGAATGTTATAGAAAAGAGACACCTATTAAATTTTGTCGGTAAATGTTGCGAAGAGATACTGGGAATAATTTCCTATAATACTTGCGTGCACAAGACCTTCCGACCCAGGTTTGCAGTTAGCTCCCAGTCACTTGCAGGTAACGCGGTTACATAGGATTGCAAAATCTGACACCCATGGCTCATGCATGATATCTGTATTGCAAGGTAACTTGATAAAATTCTTGCTACCGCGGTCAGCAAGTGCAGTGGTCTCAAGGGTCAGTAGGTGCAACAGTCTCAAGTAGCCTGAATTTCAGACGGCCATCCTTTGAGCAACGAGTCTGAAATGCAGGCTATCATCTCGGGTATAGTTGTACATGTACATTCTTCACACCGAAGCTTTTTCTAAGTATTAAACTGTCTATTTTGTGAAGTTCTGTTTTCGTTTTTATTCATTAGGTTGACTGTTGAAAGTTCGAGGGAAGACTGTGTACTGACTTGGGTACCATTCTTTATGAAGTTAAGACTAGCAGATGACGGAACTTTGGTCTGCTTAGATTTGGTACGTTCAGTATACATGCACATGATTTTGTGTGGAGTATAGACCTAATCGGATAACACATGTGCATGGCCCATGTTAGAAATAGATTTTGAAGAATAGAATTGAATATAACTTTATATATTTGATTACGCTGGTCACTTCAACCGAAGCTGCTTTCCAAGTGGGGCGTAGATAATTATAAAATTTTACAAATATATGAAGTACAAATTGTACCTGTACAAATCGCTAACAATATTTACAATTACGAAAATACGAAATAAATCTCACAATACAAATGCTACAAAAGTCGAATAGCTAAATAAATTCATCATGATCCAAAAGTCGAATAGCTAATTCATCAGACATATTCATCAGGAAATATTCCTATTGAAAGAATTTAAAGATTTGCTGTTTCTCACTTGTTCAGGAAAGCTATTCCAGATTTTAACCCCACTGTGTAGGAAACATTTTCTGCCATACTCTGTATTTGGTCGCGGCAGAAAGAGAGACGAATTTGAACCCTGTAAGTTATAACTGTGGATATGGTTAGAATTCTGGATATTATATTGACAACCTTAAATTTTCCGGCAACAATATTTCCTGGTTCCCAATATTTCAAATTGTTGTTCTTTATCACTTTACTGTCATTAATTCTTGTCTGGTTCAAGACTTTATCAATCTAATTTGACTTTTACAAAGAATTAAACCCTTGTAAACTAGTGAACATTTGTGCATTTTTTTCCTAGCTAGCTATGTTGTACCGATATCGAGTGGGCAACCAGGAAATATTGTTGTCGGAATTAGACATCTTTCCTGATGGTGGGCAAATCAGGAATCATTGTTGAATAAACATTATTTCTTATGCATGTTTCTCGAAGGTGGGCAAACCATTGTTTCGGCAAGCGCTTCTGAAACAAGATATGTTGCTGAATTTGTACGCAAACATTTCTTGAAGCAAACTTTTGCTTCCCCAACAATTTTTCCGAGCGTAGGCAAACAGGGGAGACTTGAGGAAACATTGAAATTTTCAATTGTTTATGAGGCAATGTTTTCAAGCCCAGGACTTTAAGTCTGGTGGGAATTGTATTTTTGCAGCTATTGTATTCATGTGTTTTTTTTTAGAATTCCGAAGACGAGAGCCTTGAGGATGGTGATATTATTTACGATTTAAAATCATCAGTCGCTCACATTCAGGACTACAATTCACCTGGCAACCTGGTTGCAATGATAAACGTGGACAAGTCGTATCACAAAGAACCTGTGGTAAGTCAAGGAGGGCTTAATGGGGGTGGCGGTTAAAAGAGAGGAGGCGTAATAGACTGGTTTCGTTTAGAGGAGGGTTGAATACACAAGGGGTTAATACAGAGGGGACCTCCAGGTCTTAATAGAGATGAAGGTTGAATGGAGAGGCTTAATAGAGATGGGGGTTAATTGCTTATTGATTTGGCCCAAAGGGTAAGATAAAAGTGGATTTACAAGTACAATGAATACATGTTACCATGCAATACATATGTTGTTAAAGGTGGATGTGTGTGTGTGTGTGGGGGCGCATTTGAAAGGATGACTTGATTGATAGTTTACGGTGGTATATGTTTTTGGAGTCAAAATATAAATGTTCTCGCTAATTTTGGATGAGGTGATAATTTTTAGGTTTATTTTTTTCAGGCAGATGAAGATAGCAGTTGGTATCTATTCAACGATTTTGGAGTGTCTGAAATTAGTAAGGTATTTAATTAAGAGCCTTTTTCATGAATTGCTTTAGAGATTATATTTGCCGTATTATTTTAAAGATTTTATCCGCCTTCACCGTAAACATCGAAGTCAAGGCCCTTCCATAGACTAGTACAATGCGGTATTTGGTTATATCTTGAGTGTGGGAGTGAAGGGGCGTTGGACACTATTGAAGAAGTTAATTGAAGGGCACGACTAGTTCACAAAATACTTGAAGGTTTCAAGTGTCTTTGTCTGAAAGTTAGGATGCACCGAAGGGCCTTAGTTCAGGATATTGAACTATTTTCTATATTTCCAGATTTCCTTCAACCAATTTCGTAAACTCTGGTTATAGTTTATCTTTTTTAAAGTATTCATGAGAATTTTAAAGTAAAATATTGTTTTTGAAACTTTCATGATAAATTCTCACGATAAATTAACAATTTTCTTATGTGTAGGGAGAGGCAGTCGAGTTTGATCTATCGTGGAAGACTCCGTGCATTCTTCAGTTTGTTCGTCGAAATATGAACACGGACTACGATCTAACCGGTATGGACAGTAAACCTGACTTATACTACAGTATTAAAAGACCATGCCTAATTGATCCCACAAGTTTTATTGAAAGAGGGTACCTAAACTAAACTAACAATTCTAAACTGTTCTCTCTGAAGAAGATCTATAATACCACAAGACCAAACCAACTTAATTTATAGGGGGCCTGTTCGGGGTCTGTTATTTTCGGCGAAGCCACTGCTTTTTTTTTGGGGGGGGGGCCATACTTTAAAATGCTGCAGTGCCGTTTTTATTTAAAAGCCCCTCTCCACATCACCATTCGCTTCTTATCATCAACCACACCCATTAATGCGACTCTTTCTTCATTTAGTATGCCGTACGATTGATAAACAGATAATCCTGGGAGATGTTTCTCTCTCACAACTTCATAATGCAGCAGCGCAGAGAAGCTTCACACCACTTAATCTCAATGAAGTGATACAGGAAGGAGTTGTTGTTGGAATTGATTGTGAGTTTGTCACTTTAAACCAGGTAACTGCCGCCAGTTTTCCTTCTTGGAATATTTATCCAGTATTACTACAAGGGGAAATTTATACTGGATAGCTCTACCTCAAAGTCATTACACTGTAATACTTCATGAGTAAATTAGCCAACCATATTACTTTATTTTGCTCACATGATGATACTGGATACCTGGTGAAGTGTATTGATCCAGTCCTAGTTATTTATTCGTATGAGATGTCATATCAACATGATAACATGATTTGATCAAATTGCTCGGACTTGAAATCTCGTCCAGTCCTCACAGTCGGATTTGAAATATTGCATCACTTCGTCTAAACTTAGAGATCCCGTAAGAGTCATCCCTTATTGCTCCAAACTGTTCTCTCTTAGATCCATCCAGTAAAGGTCATACCTTATTGCTCCAAACTGTTCCCTCTAGAGATCCAGTAAAGGTCATCCCTTATTGCTCCAAAACTGTTCCCTCTAGAGATCCAGTAAAGGTCATCCCTTATTGCTCCAAAACTGTCTTCTCTAGAGATCCAGTGAAGGCCATCCCTTGTTGCTCCAAAACTGTTCCCTCTAGAGATCCAGTAAAGGTCATCCCTTATTGCTCCAAAACTGTCTTCTCTAGAGATCCAGTAAAGGTCATCCCTTATTGCTCCAAAACTGTTCCCTCTAGAGATCCAGTAAAGGTCATCCCTTATTGCTCCAAAACTGTCTTCTCTAGAGATCCAGTAAAGGTCATCCCTTGTTGCTCCAAAACTGTTCCCTCTAGAGATCCAGTAAAGGTCATCCCTTATTGCTCTAAAACTGTCTTCTCTAGAGATCCAGTAAAGGTCATTGACCCTTATTGCTCAAAACTGTTCCCTCTAGAGATCCAGTAAAGGTCATCCCTTATTGCTCCAAAACTGTTCCCTCTAGAGATCCAGTAAAGGTCATCCCTTGTTGCTCCAAAACTGTTCCCTAGAGATCCAGTAAAGGTCATCCCTTATTGCTCTAAAACTGTCTTCTCTAGAGATCCAGTAAAGGTCATCCCTTATTGCTCTAAAACTGTCTTCTCTAGAGATCCAGTAAAGGTCATCCCTTATTGCTCCAAAACTGTCTTCTCTAGAGATCCAGTAAGGGTCATCCCTTATTGCTCCTAAACTGTTCTCTCTAGAGATCCAGTAAGGGTCATTCCATATTGCTCCAATGATACTACAAAAGGAAATCTAACCTAAAGTAATTTCTTTTGCACTAGATTGCTTTTATCAGTACGTTAGGTTGCAGTAAATGTCAAAGGGGAGGGTAGGCTTAGATCCCAGCTGTTCAGCTCTTCATTTTAATGTAGCCCCTTAACATTTCACAAATTAATTAATTGCCCCAAAGTAATGAACAGATGAACAATTTTTCTACCATAAATTTTATACAACCAACAGGGTCACCATTAGCGACTCTTAATAAGGTCACCTTCTGTACCTGTTCGTTCGCGACTTCACATTTTTGTTCTTTCTACTCTCCAATCGGATATCTTTTAATCCTTTTATAGGAAGAATCTGAGATACGTAGTGATGGAACTCGTTCTACTGTAAAACCAAGCCATATGAGTGCCGCTCGAGTCACTTGTGTACGAGGGTAGGTTGCGTCGGAGATGAATTTCTAGGAATGCCCACCACCTCCTAGCCTTGGCAAATTTTACACCAGTTTTAAAATATATTAAACAAGTATTAAACTTGTGTTCTTTAAGGCTGATTTCCACTGTTGCGTTTTTCGTACGCACGTACACGCACGTAAAACTTTGAATCCTTCTATTTTTAAATATTTTACAAACAAGTTAACAAATGTATACTAAAACTTGCGGAACACTAAATTCTGTTGCTTTATTTATTTGGTTATTTCATAAGTAACATTCAAACGGATTTAAAGTTTTACGTGCGTATACGTACGTATGAAAAACGCAACAGTGGAAATCAGCCTTTAGCAATGATTTAAGAAAGCAAGTTAACCACTGGTCGCGTATTCACCAAAGCTGTAAATTAAGACCTGGCGTTTGAAATTGATGTTTGGCGTATAAATGTTATGCTTGAATTGCTACGAGGGCTTGTAGTCGTTAAAGCATGAAATTTATACGCCAATCGTAAACTTCAAATGCTAAATCTTAATTTACTGCTTTGGTGAATACTTGACTAGTGGTTAATTTGTTTTCTTGAATCATTGTTACATATCACAAGTTTAATAATTGTTTAATATATTTTAAAACTGGTGTAAAAGCTGCTATAATAGAGTTGTAAAATCAAAAACTTCGTTAGCGGTTTGACGTTTGCCGTAAACGTCAATCTAAAACTCTCTAATAGCTCAGATCAAACCACACGCATATCTCATCCTAGATTTTAACTCATGAGGCGTGGAAAAGATCGAACGAATAATTCAATAAAGGAACTTGAAATGTGAAATATTTTCCACACTTTTCAGGACATTCATTTCCTCTTCCCAATGCGTCAGAAGTTAAAACGTGCGATTTTAGATGCCAAGCTTGTAAGAAACTTCTTAAAATAAAGTGACCCAGAGAGGCTGCCATTTGTTACGTCACCAAAATTGAATTTGATTAGGAAATCGGAACTCGCTGCACCCCATTCATGCTTATTAAATATTCTTGCTGTTATGCTGACAATTCGCTGGTAAAATTCGTGATTTTTCTCTCGATAGTGAAGGTCCGTTGAGAGGAAGGCCGTTTATTGATGACTACATCTCCACGTCAGAACAGGTATATGCGTGTACATGTCAAATATTTTGTTCCACAGTCTGTTCCACGATATAGTCCAGCGGAAAAGTAAAAAATCATGCACTTTGTGAAGAAAGCACCAAATTCACAGGAAGTGTAGACTTTAATTAACACGATAATGAATCTTAGATATGGAGGCATCACCAAAATTGATGCTGACGGCTTAAAATTTAGGATTTCTTATATTCTCTTATTAAACTCTATTACTGTTTAAAATTGTGAAATTGCAGGTTCACATATAGCAAAAATGACGTGCATGATTAGAAAGCTTACAAAAAACTACATATAAGACTTTTAAACGGCTGATTGATTTTCCAAGCGGTTTTCCAGTTATTGCTATTTAAAAACGTGATAAATAGGCAATAATCCCGCCAAAATCCTGGACACTAGCCCTAAAACATATTTTCAACCGCTCATATAACTCCAGAGGAGTTGGAAAATCAAAGTAACTGCTTAAATGTCTTATATGTAGTTTTTTGTAAGCTTTCTAATGACGCATGTCATTTTTGCTATATGTGAACCTGCAATTTCACAATTTTAAACAGTAATAGAGTTTAATAAGAGAATATAAGAAATCCTAAATTTTAAGCCGTCATCATCAATTTTGGTGATGCCTCCATGTCTAAGATTCAGTATCATGTTAAAGTCTACACTTCCTGTGACTTTGGTGCTTTCCGCCACAAAGTGCATGATTTTCTCAAATATCTGTGCATATCCGCTGGACTAATAGTAGCTGACAAAAGTATTCATCCTTAAAATCATGTTGTTGTACAGGTATAGTGCAGACACAAATCACGGGAACGTACGTACTGTAGAATACTACTTACACAGTACCACCACGTTTGGGGTATCATTTTCAAGTAGTCCAGACAAAAACCACGACAGCTTATCGTATAATACTACCTACACTGGACCTCCACGTTTATTTCCAGATATTTTAGACGCAAACCATATCAGCTTATTGTAGAATACTACCTACATTGGGCTCCCAAGTTTGAGATATCACCTTCAGGTAGTTCAGACGCAAACTACGCTGGAAAATATACCAAAAAACCCAGTAAATTTAAAAAAAAACCCAAGTGATCTGCGAAAATTGAAAATCACTTACAATTGTCGAGGGAAGGCTATTCGTCAGGGCGTCAGTAGGAATTGTATTGTTTTCGCCTGACCTTAACTATTTGTCCTTTTTCAGGTTGTAGATTACCTAACAGAATTTTCTGGCATCAACCCAGGCGATCTGGACGTAGCACTCTCTTCCAAACATCTCACAACACTAAAGACAACTTACCTAAAGTTAAAGTACTTACTACAACATAATGTGCTGTTTGTGGGACATGGTTTGAAGAAAGATTTCAGAGTACTCAACATCATGGTAGGTTTTTATCTAGCTGGATTTCACTAAGCACTCTCGTGCAGCAGATGCATGGTGGTCAACTGTCAGCTATCAGGAGCGGCAAAGTAATGCTAACAGTCTTTTCAGTATTATGAGAGCGGTTCAGATTTGACTGGAACACCAACATGGCGGCTGTGACGTCATGTGCAAACGCTCTATAGAAGATGCAAAATAAGTCCGTCATGAGTTATGCGTAGCGACATATACGAGTCGTTTTGAGAACTCAAATTTCATCTTTATTTAAAAGAATCGTTCTTTTCTAGGTTCCCAAATCACAAATTGTTGATACAGTTCAACTGTTCCATCTCCCACAACAAAGATTTATTTCGTTACGATTTCTTGCTTGGTATTTTTTGGGTAAGTTTATAGTGCTCGCCATTCATTCTCGTCCCCAGGGTTCTCCTCCGCCTGCACATACGCACCAGAAGGCCCTGGGGACGAGGTTGGTCCAGTGAGTGTGCAATCTGATGAGTAGGTCACCTTCAACCCAGTCACGAGTCATAACCCCATCCCTGGCCCTAACGGCCTTACGACCGTAACTTAAATAACGATAGTCGGCTGTAGGTCGGCAAACATGGCCCTGGGATCGACTGATCAATTCTACAATCCCATTGGTCTGTTCAAAAATGCATTACTTATCTTGCAAATATTTCGGTTTTGTAATGCAAGGAAAGTTGACAATCAGAATACGTACTGTACCATCATTATGTTGCGGTCACAAGGCGGGTTAGGGTTGTGATTTGGGTCAACAACAAAGAAAAATATATTCATAACGATACTAATAACAGACAACTATAGATACAATTCAAATTCAATTCAATTCAAAAGTCTTTTTAATAGATCAAAAGATAAAAATACATATCTTATGTTACAAGTATATATTAAGAATACATTAGTAAAGTTTACATCATATGAATAGGTTATAGTTAAAAATTAATCTATTTGCAAACGA